GCTCCTTCTCTCCTTCGGCGACTCGTGTTGCATACTTATCTTTAACGCCACCCTCAAATCTTCTTCCTCTTGATCCACCACTGTCGCCACCTTATCTCCGCGGACCTCACTCGACTCCACCGAGCTCTAACTCGCAGAAACCTACTGAGTCGTCCTAGCTTCACTCTGGCACTTCCTCGTCAAATCCGTATGTATGTGTGTGTTTCAACAAATAAAAATCCAAATTTGAATTTGTTTGTGTTTTGTTTCATGTTGTTACTGATATATATATATATAAAGAAAGATATAGATAGATCTATAAGAGGTTGTGATGATATTGATTTTTTTTTCGATTAGATCTGGAGCTGTAGAGATTCACATCAGATCTTTATTTATTTGTTTTTAAGTTATTGATTGTTGTTGTTGTTGTTGATGATGATGATGATATAGATGTATATGTGATTGTTGTTGATGATGAACAGGTAAAAAATAAATAAATAAATAAAAACAAAAACATATAAGATCTATTTGTTTTGAATTTAAATAGATCTGTATGTTGAATTTCAACATGTTGGAAAATTAGAACTAGAATTTCAAACAAATAGGAAAAAATAGGACAATAATTTCAACAGATAGAGTTTTACAACAGATAGAAAAAAAATTAGAACAAGAATTTTAACAAAGATTTGAATAGATAAAAAAAATTAAACGAATAAAAAAATTTGGAAAAATAAAAGAAAATTTGGATAAATAGTCAAAAAATTTGATCAGACAATCATAATTGAACAAACAGGAAAAAAAATTAAACAGATAAATATAAATTTGAACAGATAGTCCACGAAAAATCAACAAATAAGTTAGGGGATAAAATTAGAAACAAAATGCCATTTCAAAACAACAAAGGACTTCTTATCAAATTATTTCACAAAGTGTGGATTTCTCATCAATAAAAAATATTCACTGGACTTAATACCTTATACACTTCTTAGGTTGGATTTATCACCAATTTACTCTAAATTTTTTGTTATTTATAACTTTAATTTTAAATAGATTATTTATTTTTAAGTATTTTATCAATAAAAATTAAGAGTTTTTTTTTTCATTAAATGATTTGATAATATCTTAACAATTTAAAGATTTTATGGAAACATGAACACCAAACAACTCATCCAACAAGACATGTTTTTTTTGATTTGGAATAACAATGTATTAAAGCATTAAAATCATAGACAGTGGGTTTGCCAGGGACATTATTCCTCATGAAATTCAACGTGTGGAGAGCTTCCTTAATGCAACCTGAGGTGGCATAACCTTGCATCCTCTTCTGTAATTCAACATAACAACAAGAGGACTCATCATAGGTTTCACCTTCTTCTTCATGAAAATAATCTAAGGAGGTTTGAATAGCACAAGCAGAGTATGAAAAAAGATTGACAATTGATGATGCAAAACCCTAAACCTGTTTCAAATCGTTCCATGTGAATGTGAAGAAACTAAAGCAACAAGTGTAGAAAGTAGTTTTTCACCAAGGATATGATGATTATAACCGAATGGGGATACTGCTGTGCCCCAAGGCACAGCAGTTGCTGCTGTTCCCTTGTGGGAGATTATTTTGAATGTCTTTCGATGATCTGAACCGTTCACATTGTAGGACTCGTTGAGTAGATCATCCATGCAAAAAATCAAGTTGATTGGATATCTATAACTCTATAACCAAAGCACATTTGTTTTTATAAAAATTAACGGTTAACATAACTTTCATAAAATTTTTAAAACAATTAGGACCTGATCATGGGGTTATGAATATCCGATTAACTTGATTTTTTACATAAATAATATTCTTGACAAACCCTACAATATGAACGGTTCAAATTATCAAAAAATGCTCGAAAAAATCTCCCATAAGGGGACAACAGTAACTGCTGTGCCTTGAGGCACAGTAGTACCTCCGCCGTAAAATTAACCCTTTTTTTTTAGGTGGAATAAAAAAAATGACCCCGCTACGTAGCTCGAAAGAGTTTGGCTTGAATTTGGCTCGACACCAAAACGACATCGTTTTGGTGTCTTTTTTTTTTCCTGTGTTTTTGTTGCAAAAGGAAGAAGAAAAAGAAGGGAAGAAGAATGGTGGAGAAGAAGAGAAGGAAAGAAGAGGAGAAGAAGGAGGAAGGAGAAAGACTGGAGGGGGCATAATCACAGGGGGGAGGAGTAGGGATGGCAATTTGAAACCGGCCCGATGGGGACCCGACCCCCCGACCTCGAATTGTGCGAGTTTTCTCCGAAAAATACCCCCGACGGGACGGGGATGGTATTTAAAAATCAATCCCCGAACAGATTCGGGCCGGGGACGGAGATAAGTGTCTCAGTCCCGTACCCGGCCCGGCCCCGTCCCCATTTCCGGGCTCGATTTTTCCCCAAAATGAATCTACTAATTTACCCTTCGATATATATACATACACACACACATAGTGATAGTAACCAAACCAAATCTGTCTTCCGTCTCTCTCTCTCTATCTCTTCACTCTACTCTCTCTCTCACTCTCACCACTTTCGCGACCCAATCACAGCAACCATTACGACGTCGTCGCGCCGATCGTCCTTCTTCAGCCACAGCCTCCCTCCTTTCCCTCCGATCTCCATCGCTGCGCTGCCTCACGGTGCTACCTCACGCCGATCTCCGTCGCTGCGCTGCCTCACGCCGGTCTCCATCGCTGCCGATCTCCCTCCCTCCGATCTCACTGTCTCACACCGATCTCCATCACTGCTTCCTCCATTCCGTCGCTTCTGTCTCACACCGATCTCCATCATTCCGTCGCTTCTGTCGCCTCCTCCCTCGGATCTGCCTCACACAAGTTGTGTTAGATTCAACATGCTCAGATCTGATGAAAGATGTGTTAGATTGTTTGTTTTTTATTTTTTATTTTTTATATTTGATAAATTACATTTGATGAATTATATATTTTTTACATCTGATGTGTTAGATCTGTTGTTGTTGTTATTTAATTTTAGCCGGGGAATTATCGAGGTTGGGGAAACCCGATCCCCGTTGGGGGACGGGGGCGGGGGCAGTGACAGGTTCCCCGTCGGAGATCGGGGCCGGGGATGGGGGTATTTCCACCATCGGGGATCGGGGACGGGGAGTGCGATCCCCGGCCCCGCCCCACCCCGTTGCCATTCCTAGGGAGAAGAAGGCGGAGGCTGAAGCCGGAAGCGACGGCGGTGGTGTTGCAACGATCGGCGGCGGTGAGGCGACGGCGGTGGTGCTGCGACGATCTCCTCTCCTCCTCTCTCTTTCTCCCTCTCTCCTCTTTCTCTTCTCCTCTCTTCTACCTCTCTTCTCTCCTTCTTTCTCCTCTATCTCTGTCTTCAAATTCAAATTCGAACCAAAATCAAGTCACTTTTTTCAAGTTACCAGTCATTTTCGTAAAAAAAATTAAATTTATTGCTCGCACGAATACATTTCCCAATGTAAAACATTCCAGTCATCATTATTGACCGAATCCCCATCATGATTACGAACACGAGTTGACTACACGTAGTTTGGTTCATTTAACAAGGCAACGATTTAAGTGGTTTCAGAATTAAAGGTTATAGTAATTTTTTCATCTTTTATAAAGTGACAGGTTAAAAAATAAATATATAAAAAAAATTATAATTTAATAACTTATAGGATGTTTTTTGGCTAAAAATTTTCCTTTACCAACAAAGCCGTATTCATGGTCACTGCGCACATCTTTGAGAAACATTTTGCCACTTTTTGATGAGATATATTTAGATGAGAAAAGTGGTCTAATCATATAATCATCTAATCTTAGTGTACCTTGAAGATCATATAGGCAATGTGATTTTGATGTTCTTTCCCCTACCAAAATCTAGGCCAAGTTTGGAAAGTTCAAAATAATTCATTTTTTTTTTTATTTTTTTATCTTTTTTCCATCACATCACCTCTTTATTTTTCTGCACATCTTTTCGTAAAAAAATAAAAAATATACTTATTTAGGTCATCCCAAACAACCCCTAATGTACCATATGCAGATCAACTTCGAGAGATCCAAAAAAAACATATTCAACTGAACAACTTTCCAATTACCAACCACATCCGCTATCATGTATGATATTACAAAATTGACCAATTTGCATAATGCCTCTTTACTTATCCGAAGAGAATACATTCTGGAGAAACAGGGGTGATCTATCTAACCGCTAAAAAATTGAGGTGGACTACCAAAACCCAGGCACTTAAAAGTCTTGAATTCACCACACCCAATGGTACCCATTTGGAGAACGTCCAGGACCAAAGTAATGGGTAAGTCACCAAGGTTTGGGGGGTGGTTGGTTTTAAACCAGAAACCAGAGTCCCCATTCATGAGATAGAGAAGATAACCAGATTTCTAGATCTGCTGCCAAACTTATTCCAATTCCAAGGGTTACCTCCGCTTAACGGTCATAGCGAGAATTCATAATAAAATCTCCCCAAGTAGGATTCATTTCTGCCTCTTTATTGTCAGTAATTGCCTGTTCATGAAAATAGAAACCAAATTTATAATTAACCAAAAAAAAAAAAAAACATTTTATTACCAATGTAATCAACAGGAAACAACAATGTAACTACAGAATCCAATTCTGATTACCTGCATATTTTGAACATTCTTCAAAGCAACAAAATCCAAATGAGATCCGAGCAAAAAGATTCAAATACACACTGGCCGAAGAATTAGCTCAGTAATTCAGTTCTAGGTGCCTCTCATTTTGTTATTTGCATTTAATCCCACTTCCACTGAAAAGGAAAGGGTCCTGCTGCAGCAGATAAACCAGTAAAAACAACATTCACAAGCAAAAACAATCAACCAAACCCATGCAACGCAATCTGCTATCATAGCCTGTGCATCATTCAATCTATACAATGACCAAAAAAGAAGAGAAGAAAATTGGGAAAGACTCGAACAAATTGCAGGAAGCAAAAAATAAATTTAAAACAAATGAAATAAAATAAAAGACAAATTAAAGGACTAAAGCTGCAGGCATTTTGCAAATTGGAATTTCTATAACGGACATTTGCACTAGAAAAGGTTCAGACATTAAAGCTGCAAAATTGCTTAATGTACACTTTCCGAAGGCAAAATACATACAAAATGTCTTGCTCATCTATTGTATTTCAAAAGAACAAGTAACTCCTCTTTGACTGTCCACTATATACGTAAAAGAAATTAGTGACTCGGTTAATATGAAAGAAAAAGAAAAATTGTTGTTGCAAGCTTCCATGTATGTTCGTTTCTTAAAGTCGTCTTCATTCTCTAAAAGTCACCTCCGGCACATACCACAAGCCCTTAGAAATATCTCCACAGCCATCTCTGTTTGCATGGATGCATTCCTCATCCAACGGATCATGGCTGGGTATCATACGAACATTCTCAAATAGGAATCTGCAAAACTTTTATTCTCATGGTTGAAAAAAATTCAGAGAATATTAATTGACCAAAGCAGCAAATTCCCTGGGTGAAAATCAATTGACTTCCCTTTCTCTTGGCTCTCATTCCATCCATCAGGCATGGAAGGACACTATTTGATGCCTGATGAGAAACCTTGTCTTGGGGGAAAACCAGTCTGACGCATCTTATAAGGCCTCTCATTAGCAAACTTTCTGCTGTCAGACGGTCCTGACCCAAGAATTCCTGAAGAATTTGGATCAGGGTTACGGGTGCCATTACTCATAGCTCTTTGATGAGGAGGCTGAACTTGGGAGTGAATATCAGCTTCAGCTCTTCTCCGGCGTTTCCATGCCTCAAATTTCCCTGTATCAAGCTCCCTATTAACTAATGCTGATGTCCTGGCAACAGACCCAGTTGCAGAACCGTTGATGTGGGATGGCCCAACCCCTGAATCCCCTTGCTCCAGTTTAAGTTTAGAATAAATCTGATGAAGTCTCTCCCCAGACAAATTCGAGTAGGTGGAAACATAGTTCCACAGCCGAGTGGTCATCCCTGAAAAATAAATTATCCATTATTCATGCCAATCAAGTTTAATACCTATGCAAAAACTTTTCGATGCAAAGAATGCAAACAATAGTTGCATGTTCAAACACAGAGATGCAAAGAGTCATACTTTCTTGCCGATAAAGCTCCTCCTCATGCTCTAGAACAATTTGGTCAATCCTTCGACCAAGTTGTTGTAGATACTTTCGAATTTTGGAAAGAACCTACAGAAACATATAGGTGAAGAACACAATATAGGACAAAATCGAAACAAAAGACAAGACAGTAGAAACAGGCACTAAGAAGAACCTGTTCCTTTGGCAGATCAGCACTGGTAGTTTGCAACCGTTGAAGACGTCTAAGGGTCTTTCCCTCATCAACCATGACATCTTCACACCATTCCATCCACTTAACTTCCTTGAACTGCTCATATACTTCTTCAGTATCTGACATTTCACCTTCCTCTTTTACTAAAGGTTCAACTTTCTGGGTTCTTGAATGTCTAACCTTGTTCATTTGGAAATTAAGTTTAGAACCACCTAGTTTCCCTTGCTTGCCCTTGCTGCGAGATACTGAGATGTTTAAAAGATTTCCTGTCTGCTTCTTGGAAGCCTTACGGCCACCTTTGGCATTTGGAATCTTCTTTCCATCAGCCATAAGTTCCTGGTAACAAATGTCTAGGCAGTCAATTCACATGAAAGGGCTCACAGAAATAACTTAAAACAATAGCCATGAAAAAGTAACAATGATAGTCAGGCCAATGAAGAAGGCACAAGACAGGCAATAAGTAACTCCCACATGTACAAGGGAGGTGAGACTAGCCTAGAACAACCTTTTTCTTGGCATGTTGAACTCAAACCACTTTTATCGGTAAGTAACGTCACAGCCTCATTTTCTGAAATATTGAAAGCATTATTATCAAGGTTCTGAAAAGCGGTTACGGTCGCCGTAACGGTGGCGGTGGCGCGGTTACGGAGTGTAAAAGCCGTAGCGTAACAGTTGCGATAACTGGAACCGTGAATTTTTTTATTTTTCGCACAATTTGAAAAAAATTTACCGATACGCATATTTTTTTTCCATGATCATATTTATTAGGTTTAAAATAAATATTCATCAATTTTTGTAAATTTTTAACTATGATCTAATATATTTTATATTTTTAAATCATTATAAACTGATTTTTTTACATTTTATTTTAATAATTATTGACTTTATATTATACAAAAAAATCAATCACTAACTATCATATATAAGATAAACAATGACAAAAGTAAGAGAATAAATAAGAGCCTAAATATACATATTTTAACCAAGCCAAATAAATAATGACCACACTTATTATTATTATTATTATTATTATTATCAAACAATATATAGATAGATACACACAAATAATATGGTTGAGTGATAGTAGTTGAATAAAATAGCATAGGTCTTACAGTTTCAACAAATTAATAACATGTTCTTCATCTTCCCTCTTCTATCTCTCTATCTCTTACTCCTCCATCTTCTCTCTTTATCTTCCCTCTTCTCTCTATCCCTCTTCCCCTATTTTCAATTCTTTTTTTGTGTGTTTTTTTGAAAGAAGCAATTCGGATTGTTACGTAACGGTGCGTAACAGGCCGTTACGACTATTACGACACCGTTACGACCGCTACGGCAGACATACCAGTGAATCTCAATCACATTGCAAAAGCAGCCGTAACGGGTGACGGTAACCAAGTTTCTTAGGTTGGGAGCGCCTTGAGAAGCGATAATATATATATATATATTTTAATACACAAAAGAAGTTTTTTTATAAATATTTTCATTTTAATACACATTAATTATTTTATTTATTTATTATATTTTTTAAATAATGTGTTATTGTTAATTTATTTTTATTTTATTTTACATATATGTGTGTGTGTTTTTTATTAATATGTATAATATATACTCATATATATATTATATTTGTATGTATTAATGTTTTTTTTATGTAAATATATTACAAAGATTATAAATATTAATATTTTTATTTTTTTATTATATATTTATATGTATATATATGATGTATATTAAATAATAATGTGTTAATGTTTTTTATTTTTTTAGTTTTTAAATATATATATTTATTTAAAGATTTTATATGTTTTATCTTATATATATATATATATATATTTTACTTATATATTAGGTATATATCGTGACAGAAGGCCAGAGAGAGAGAGAGAGAGCGCGAGTGAGAGAAGGCAAAGACGAAGGCAGAGGAGACGATGACGATCAGCGAGGAAACAATCTGCGAGAGAGAGAGAGAAAGATGATCTGCCAGAGAGAGAGGAACTGCGACAGAGACAAAAAACACAGAGAGAGAGAGAGAGACGAACTGCGATAGAGACGAAAAACAGAGAGAGAGAGAGAGAGAGAGAGAGAGAGAGAGAACCTTCAAAGTGATGAAAGAAGAAGAAAAACGAAGCAAAGGACATACCCAGTCTCAAATAGGTTCTTCTTCACCTTCTTTCTCCTCTCTCTTTACAAGCTAGGGTTTTTGTTCTTCTTCACCAACGATCCCATCTTGGACAGGATCGCGTTTCTCTCTCTACGGAAACGCGATTCCTACACGTTTCTTTCCAAGAAACGCGGAATCGCGTTTCTTACGAAGATTCGTCACCTAGTAGCACGATTCCTGCAACTAAGTGTCAGACACGGACACTCTTTGGACACTTTTCCGACACATGTCCGACACTCTTCAAAACATATCCTATTTTTTAATATTTTTTAAAGACCCGAACACTCTTTGGGCACTTGGAGGACACGTGTGTATCTCTTAAAACACGTGTGTCTATCGTTAGACACGCGTGAAACTAATTATAAATTTAAACAAAACAACTTAAGATGCAATAATAAAACAAAAATCATAAAAATTTATAAGGATTAGTGTCATATTATATTTTTTATTATCTTTGAATGATATATTCACATATATAACATATAATAAATATATAAAATTATATATTTCATTCGTATCACCCACGTGTCGTGTCCTGCATTTTTTGAAAATTAGCGTGACGGCGTGTCTGTGTCGTGTCACGTGTCCATGCTTCTTAGCTCTCAGGCAACCAAAATCTGGTAGAGGACGTTGGCCAAAATCATTAATTGGAACAAGAAGACACCCAGGAAAGAAGAGAACTGTAGGAAGCATGATATTTTAATTGGGCTAAAGCTTGAGTTTTGGTGTTGTGCTTGGGAAGTAGGGAGTGATGAGGAAACTGGTTGGAGACAGAAGTTCAAAACAGTGGTCAAGGATGTCATGGAAGAAAAAGGGAGATTTCTTGTTCAGCCTATTCAAGACAAAATAGTATAACATGTAGAAAGCAGAGTTAAAAAGAAAATATTTGTTTCCTTCAACGCTCTTAAGCCTTCAGATGAGTTGATAGTCAATAATTTAACAACATTGAATCTAGAACAGAACTGCAAAACACGTCCAAGGAGTCTGGCAGAAAATGGAAACCTATCCAAATTACAACGTAATGAATTTTCTTCGATGTTTGGCCAGTAAATAAATCCATTTAAAATATATATTTTGTTTGCACTCTTAAACATAACAATCTAAAACACATCACGCTGTGTCATTCCAATAGTCCCCATCTTTTCATTAAATAACCTAATTACATTATCCTAACCCAAAGAGCAAGCCATCAAGAATAATTCTACTATCTGAGTCCTGTCTGCAATTAACTTCTAACAGTAATGATAGGGTCATGGAGGGCCACACTTTACAAAGAACATTATGTTTTATCTTGAATTTAACTGTCAGTGTGAATATGAGTTCAATTATGAACTTTGATTCTTTTTCATAAGCTAAAAACATAAAAATCATTGAAACATTCCACTTCAAACTATCACATGAATTTTTCTCTTGCCTTGCCTTTAATTCACAAAGACAAATCAATTGACAGGCTCCATGTTGCCATACGGAACTGGTCCAAATTGGCCACTCTTGTCACAGGCCATGTTAGATTTGTTCCTGTCCTAAGTTAAGCACTAAATGCGCAAGGCATATTATTATTGATGCTCACTTTGGCCCATCTCAATATCAAGGAAAGGTTATGTTGCACTAATTCACTAAAGCAATTTAAGTTCTAACCACAAATTTTCTCACAGGTAAGGAAAACAAACAAACGAAAAGGCTCTGTTTAGTTAGAATGAAAACAATATTAGTAAGTAAAAATATAACAAGATAAAATGGTTGTAAAGAAAAAGGGAAAAAGTAATTTTCAACAAGAATTTGGTTAAGTAGAATTATTTTCCAAAAAGTTACAGGAAAACAAAATATTGTTATTTGACTTGCATGAAAGTTAAAAGAAAATATTTGAATTGCATGAAGTCTAAAAAAAAAATACTATTATTTCGCATAAATTTAGTTCATCCATATAGAGAGCTGCATTTAAACAGAAAGAAAAAAGTGGGAATCCTAATAATAGACACTGGTATGTAAGGACTTTCTTGCGCATTTTGCAAGAAATGAGAAGGCGTGTTTTTAAGAAAATTAAGCCATTACATGGTTCCTACTTTTTTGCATACTTTTCCCTTTCTGGCAAAGCATATAACCCAAAAAAGTAAAATTTATTCATCTTTACTTCACTTCCCATGATTCTCCACCTAACCAAAACGGGGCCTGAAAATCACTCTATTTTTCTACTGCTAACTAGGAAACAGAAGTTATCCAGAAGTATAAAAACAAAGTTGAGCATAATGGTAACACAAAATATGATGAACAAGCCAAGACTGCCAATATGCAAGTTTTGTGGATTAGAAAGTTGGAATATAGGTCATTGCCTACCATTTCCAAAAGCTGGGAAGCCCGTTCATTCAAGTTGGGAGCTCTAGGTAGGAAAGTTTCATGATGTTGAAGTTCCACTGGAGCAATTTTCTTGGTAAGACCGAGTTTTTCATCTAACCTTATCCTTTCCCAATTGCCAAATCCGTGATAGTGAATTCCAAGTAGTAATTTAGCATCATCCTCTAGTGACAAACAGAAACAAGGAAAAATAATGCATCCACCACATATACCAGAAAACCTTTCCAAAGAATTGAAAGTTACATTATTTAAAAGAGAGTAAAGACATACTCTGATTCCAACCACAACCTTTAGACCAAGTTGCAGGTTTGAGGTACATCAAAGCTTGGAATTGAGAGGTGGGATTCTCATAGCAACTAATACGCTTTGCTAGGAGTTGAAGTTCTTCAACACGACTTAGTAAATCATTAGCCTTCACAGGAACACCAAAAAAATCCAATATAGGCCCCTAAAGGTACATACCACATTTAATTGTTAGTTCACAATCGCCACATAGTGCTCACAACAAGCACATATCGCATAACTTGCACTCAATTAATAATGTGACTCAGACCCTCAGTAGAATTCACAGAAATCTAACCTTTGGATCAAAATTCCCTCCCTCAACTGCTTCTCTGCAACCATCGATCAAAGCAACGAAAAGCTCAATCTGTGCTTCAGTGGGAGCAGCTTCAACTGCCCCACCAACCTCAGCTGCTATTAAGCTGATTTGGCTGTGATTCCCAAATTTTTTAACCTAATTTCAGCAGAATGTTAAAATATTAAAAGAAAAATTACATTCAAAGATGTGCTGCAACAAAGGAGAAACATGCTAATGTCTCCACTTCAGTTATCACACAGAAGGTTCCACAACCCCTTTGCCAATAGTGCACAAACACCAATGAAAGATAGTATAACAGAAAAAACAGGCATAAAGAGCGCGCCAAATCCATTACAATAGTCATAAAAATGCTTGCATAGCAGGGTAATAGAGCATCTCCTTACATACACATAACATGGAAAATACAGAAAAGTGAAGATGTTAAATTAAACAGAAGAAAACCAATTTCACTCCTTTAAATGCACTAAAAGGAAACAGTTCAGCACATTTTATTTTCTCTTTATACAATTCAGACAACATCAGTTGAAAATAAAAAGGAATACAATAAGGTAGTAACTAGATATGACATTTGTCAACAAATGAAATCCAAAACTAGCCAAATTCAATGAGTTCAGATATTATACTTACTGTTTATCCCTCTTCCCCACTCTGCGTTCAGTTGCGCAGAAAATGGAGAATCAAGGAAAAATTGGGAGAAATGAGGAACAGAAGCACCAGTTGATCAATTAGAACATGGTATGGAAGAAAACAATATTGACAGTGAGTTGCATATAGTATCCTTAAGGTCCCAGAGTATGGGAATAAAACTGAATACAGAAGTTGAACAAAAAAAGTGCCAGATATTATTGATGAACATTTAACAAGCAAGAAATGGTGGAATGCAACTCATTACATCATCCTCACAATCTTGTGTTAGAAACATGCCCTCATCCAAGTCATGTCATGTCATGTAGTGCAATTCCCATGCCAGGTGCCAAAAGAATAGGACACTTCAGGCAATAATCTAACCCATTAGAAATGCAATCATATTTTAGAGACAACTTCAGCTCTTTGTTACAAAGACCATTCTGTTTGCCTGAAGTACACATGCCAACATGACATGAGAGGGACAAGGACAGAAGAATTGTGTCAAATGCATACATTAGAAATGTATCCAAATCAGACACTCTGGTCCCTTTGTACACGCTGGTGAAGAACAAAAGGCTTAAACTAAGTAGCAAGTGACAATTTTCTGAACTCTCACCTGAGAAAACAGATAGGAAGCACCCTCAAACAGTGAACTCAATTTAAATATATACTTCACATAAAAATTAGAACCTAAGAACACGGATATGGACGTGGACATGGATGCAGACACGGACACGAGACACGGTGATTTTAAAAAAATGGGAACTTGGACAAGGTGGGAACACGACACTAAAATATATTTTGATATATTTTTATTCGCTATCTAAATTAATATTACATCCACAAACAATCAATATTAACAAAAATAACTCTAGTTCTATAAAAAAAAAAAAGTTTAAAAAAAACACTTTTAAATTAACACTTGAAGTTTTCATTTTTTTATGGATGATTAAGTATTTAAATCTAAGAAAAAGATAATAAACATTCACCATTCAACATTCATCAAAAGCATTAAAGAAAATAGGGGAAAAATGAACTCGGCATGTCCTCAGTGTGTCCCTAACATGTCCCCTAGAAATAAATTAATTAAATAAGAGGACACGCCATGTGGCATGGCCCATACGTGTCCCCGAAGTGTCCATGTGTCTAACACAGACATGGCACTTGTTTTGAAGTGCTAGTGATTCATAGATTAGAACACTGCATTGTGATGTTTTATAACATAAATGTATTTTAATATGTAATAATTCTCCCAGCACCTGTGCACAACTTTTTGCCTCAAGCCCAAGGTTTTAAAAAGCGGCCGCAACCGTTACGTAACGCCGTTACGTAACGGTTTTGGCGTTTACCGCCACCCGTTACGGCCGCTTTTGCAGTGTGATTGAGATTCACAGGTGTGCTGGCCGTAGCGGCTGCTGTAGCTGCACAAACACATCACCAAGTCTATGTAGCATAAGATTGGGAGAGATGACAATAACTGAAAGTAATGGCCTTAACAAGGTCAACTCTTTGCAATGAAGTCATTCTTGTTGTCTTGAATGATAACTGAGAAAAAGCATTTTCATATTAAGAAAACAAAGATTACAAAACCTCTAGTTGTGTCTAGAGTGGAACACTTCATGTAATTTAGTTTAAAAAACAAAAAAGCCTACTAATAATTTGCAACCTTTAGATGCAAGACAGCCTAAGAAAACCCAAGAAGCTGAGCTGTCTGGCAAGGGAAGGTAGTGAACAAGATAGCTTCAGGAAGTTATCTGAGACGGAGAGAACAGACAAAGAGCGCTTGAAGTACAAGAAATATAGCTAAAAGAACAAGCAAAGCAACAATAAAAGCCAAGAAGGTCTCCTTCGGTACTCCCTAAAACAAGATGGATCACGCCTGATCTAGTAGAGCTCCAAGAATCCCATCATTCCTTCTTCCAAAATATTGCCAAATCAATCGCTGTATATAATAGACTCCATCATCCCACTACAACACACTTTACAGCCCAAACCAGAATTATGAAAAACACCCTTGATCCGTAGTTCATAAAATATAGAAAGTACAAATGAAACTAAATCAACACCATACTATCCCATAAAAATGTCAGAAACAGCTCAAAATAAAACTTAAGTTACATTGAACAAGATCCAATCATGCTCCAATTAACGCCAGAATTATGAACTACACCCTTGATCCTTAGTCCTTCAAATATAAAGTGTATAAACAAAACTAAATCAACACCATCCTATCCTATAGAAATGTCAGATAATGTTAAAAATAAACCTAAGCTTCATTGAACAAGGTCCATTGATTCATTCACTGGTTATTGACCCTTCCAGCTGTATACAATCAAAATCCAAAACTCATTTCTTATCCAATAATCAGATAGTCACAGTGTGCACAATTCAAAAATTCAGCACGATGCAGTTATAGCCTTTGCCTATTTCAAAATTCAAGGGAAAAAGCCATGGAGGATAACCAGCAGAGGGCTGCATATAATGGAGAGCCAATAATTCAGACTACTTCAGATGAACTGTCAAAATCTAGCGATCAAAACCAACCAGCCTGACCTGGTCAAACAAACAATCAACAGTGATCCAGCTACTTGGCAGACATGACTCTTATTTGGTCAATTTAAGTGATAGGGGGTGTTTGTTTCAGCTTTTCAGAGTCAACTTATGGCTTTTAGCTTTGAAAAAGTTATTTTGGACTGTTTGGTTAAACTTATTTCAAACAGCTTCTGATTCTAACAGCTTATTTTAAGTCAAAAAAGTTGATTCTGAAAAGCTGCTCACCCCTTGCTTCTGAGTATCAGCTTCTGCTGTGGACATGTTAATTTATGGTTATACTCTTAAATTTTTTTATTTTTTATTTTTTTAAAAATAGAAAAAGACTCAAATGGACTATAGATTATTATTATTATTTTTTATGAGAAATGTAGACAAACAAAAAATAAAAATTAATTGAAAAAGCTATTTCACAGCTTATTTAACAAATACTACTCAGCAACTTAAATCTATAATCCAACAGCTACACCAAACAGATTAACAACTTCTAATTAAAATCATAATCTATAATCTGTTAAGTTATAATCTATAAGTTGTTTTAACAGCTACACCAAACGGGGCCATAAAATGGATGGACTCGGATAGAACCCAGAGTAAAACCAGACAAAAGAACTAGCTACAGAGACAATGGATGAGGGCAAATATTGCTTACTTGAGAATAATCCATAAAAGGTGCATCTTGTAATTCGGAGACCATAATATCCTTACTGAACTGAGTGTAAACACTACATCTTTATGTAAGACATCTTGTCACGACTTTTAATAACTAAATCATGCTTACATTGTATTATAAATATTAGCAAAACTCCAAACAATGTGTTCTGCATCAATAGGCCATCAGCTTGATGTAGCAGTTGACAGTTACCCAATAACTCCATCCTCCAGGTTGATGACGGAGTGGGTTTCATAACCGTGGCAAAGTGAGAAACATTGGAATAATTAAGGATGAGGAATTAGATGCAACCAAGATTGAGGATAGGATCACCTTAACTGGGTTTTTATTGCCCAAATACTGCTCAATTAAGGAAGACTTCTGTAGCAAATCTACTCACCGGGCCTTATATTTTATATGTTTTTCACTATGATAAGATGACCACAAAACAAAAGTTCAAACTTACAACTCAAAGAAGAAAAAAGACATAGATAAATAAAGGAAAAGAAGACGACGACAAATAAAGCTTCCAAGGAACCTCATGTCAATAAAGAAAACCACATAGCTCCTAGACTTCCATATCTTCTAATTATTTATGTGAAATGAGACTGATGAACTGCATATCTGCACCTATACCAACACAGTAATGGGTATACCAGTACAAAAGGTTATAAAATACACATGAGATACTGGGATCTTACCGCCCGGAAGAAGCGTGAAGCATCTCTCTTCGACAAATTCCCATAAGACCATCCTCTTACTTGAGCAGCAGCTCCCTCAATTGCTGGCGCTGAATAGCCAAAATTATCTGCTTTGCGGCGCTTTGGGCCTTTCTCCTGAGGTTCAACTCCCTTCTTTTTCCTTTTATTACTTCTCTCAGGTGGGATAGCCTCCACATAACTCCTATTGTTTCTTGCAGCTCGAGGAGCTAAAGCTTCCTAAAGAAAGAAGGAAGCAATAAATATACTAAAATAACTTAATAAGTGAACTACTTATCAGTTTGAAAAGCAATATAAGACATTCACATGCATTTCATGATTAAAACTGATTTAAATATTTGGTTCATACATCAGCTTGAGATACAGCTTCTGGTTTTATCCAGCGGCTCCAAAAGCTCCCGTCATCTTCAGCACTACAGAAGTTGGCAACCTAAAAATAGTAACAAATATAAGAATAGAGCTTACATAAGAAATCTAGAGATATCTATGCAAAAGTGGAAACATCATGGTATGGTATCTAAATATTGAAGAGAAGAGAAAAACATAAAAGAGGAAAAGGAAAACTCCTTCTGAAACATAAAAATAATCATTATAATAATAACATTGGGTTTTAGGTGCTTGCCTTAAAAGCACTCAACAATTCATTCCCATGCTCTTCTGTTGTTTGCTTCTCTTCTACCTTTTCTGCTCTTTCAAGAATTTCATCAATATCCATACTTAAAAGCCTCTTTTTGCTTTCTTCATCATTTTTGTCTTCCTTAAATAGTTCCTCTGCACCAAATCTCAAGATTGCTGACAGCTCATTCTGTAATCATGTGAGGCAAATGTTAGATGGAAAACCTACTAAGGTCAAAACAATACAGCAAAGGATGTGATCTAAAAAGAAATTGTTAGTTCTGCAGCGGATACAGAACATGAATTTCACAACGACAACTACAATAACAAGTAATTCCGTTGACCTAAACCAATTGCTTTCAAATTTCAAAAATCTCCTATGAACCATATATTTTTTTCACAAAACACAATTAAATATATTTTCCTGCTTATGTACTTACTTTGTCAAAGGAACTCCCTTTTTTCGCTTCTTTTTTCTCCAGTCTACCCTCCGCATTCAACTTTTGAATCACCAAATGATCAAGAACCTATCAAGGATACATCAGAAGGTAAGAGATCCACACATATAGAGCCAGAAAGCATGCATACATCAATATAAGCAAAGCAAGCAAGCACAACAATGCATCTAAAAATGAATGATATGCAAAAGCCTCGTAGAAAGAGAAGATGACTGCTAATTAGTATACCATCTTCTTCTTAGCACGCTCCAAGATATCTTCCTCCACACTCTTGCTTGTAACAAATCGATAGATGTTAACAACTTCTTGCTGCCCAATCCTATGAGCTCTACTCATTGCCTATAAAAAAATAATTTTTAGAAATACACGTAGAATTAGCATTTCAATGTGAAATTGAGCACAAAAGAAACTGATAATGCAAAAGAACAAATCATGTTGTACCAACCTGTAAGTCATTTTGAGGATTCCAGTCTGAATCAAATATTATAACTGTGTCTGCTGTTGCAAGATTGATGCCTAAGCCACCAGCACGAGTTGAAAGTAGGAAACAGAAATCATCACTTCCAGGTGCATTAAAATGGTCCATAGCCTGCTGACGCAACTCAGCCTTGGTACTACCATCTAGCCTTTGAAATTGGAACCCTCTAAGTGACAAATATTCTGCCAGTATATCCAACATCCTAACCATCTGCAACAGTGAAACAGTCACGTTAATGTGCTTCAACCCATCAGACTGATCACTAAGAAATCATCTTTGCTACAAAAGTCAATGGCAATACACTTCAATCCATATGATATATATGTAACCATATTAGACAGCGAAAACATTAACTTATAACCAAACATGACAGGTTTTCATTTTAGAAAAGAAACAGATGATAAATATTAGTCAAATAACAAATGTCATTATAAACGGGTTGGATCGACAAAGACACACGTTTGATCAATTGATCATCTACCAAGGTGCAATTTTAAATGAACACTTGCAAGGCCAACGGAAAATTTTATTGGATTATTTATTCGGTAGAGAATTTTACTGCAAGATATCAACAAACCCCTGCAAAGGTTAATTTACTTACGGCTGAAAAGAAAATATAGCAAAACCCAAAAGAAGTGTTGGTGCTAATTAAATGAGCATGCTGAGAGCAATGGACTGGATGGTTTGTACCTTTGGGCCTTTGACATTAGTCGCACAAAGTGGCCACTTTTAGACTCAAACCGGTGTTCTTTACACTAGGGAGCCTCAGCTTTTAGCATATCATGACACAATGACCCCTCCATTTACTAATTACTGCTTCCATAAGTTTATCAATGTTCCTGGTTTTAACTCTTTCAAAATAATAATAATAATAAATAAATAAATAAATTTGAATAAAAAAAAACATAGTTTATAAATAGCCAGTTTTATTGATTGTGTATATTAACAAAATATGCCAATCTATGAAACCAAACTAGCCTTGTGTCCTAATTAAGTCGGGTCTGCTAAATGAACCCTTTTTATCCATTCAGCTCTATCAAGGCTATATGCTTAGTTACATTAAATAAATTCATATCTTTTTTCACTACACAATAAATTAAATAAACTATTTGTTCCTTATGCCTCGACTTTCATTATAAAATCACAAATATTCAATTACAGAAACAGACAAGGCCAAGCCCAATCTTGTCTGTGCCGACCTTGACGAGGACTGCTTGAGCTTACACCAATTTCTATGCGAGTCAATAGAAAAAACCCAAGGGTCAGCAACACAGAGCATTGACACTGTTACTTCATGATCCATCAGCAAGATGGACTGATGAATATTTTTGACAATAAGAAGAGAAATGGCAATAGTTAATGTTGGCTATGGTAGAACCTATTTCCAGACCAAGGAATGAATAATCCAGTTGCCATGGTTTGATATCCAGCAATATGGTTTCTGAAACAAACCTGAGAAAATATTAATACACGATGATTAGTTTCATGCAATCTGACAAGCAGCTTATCAAGTATAACTAGCTTCCCACTGCTAAGAATTATCCGTTCCAGTTTACTGCTACCAGTAATGCTTGTGTCCCCACCATAACCATGGTCTGCACTTTCAAATAGAAATGGGTGATTGCAACATTTCTTCAATTCTACCACAATATTTAAAAGTGAAACCTGCAAATATTGGAGAGATGTCAAAACAATTGTTCTTTGCATAGAAATCTACAATGTACATTAGCAATAATAAATAGTGACAAAATAGGAAACAGCAACAACAACAATAAAAATTAGGGTTAATTACATTTTAACCCCTTATGATTTAGCTCAAAAACACATTACCTCATTGTGGTTTAGAAATATGCACATAACCCCCTCGTAGTCTGGAGTATAGTGTAAAAGTAACCAATTCTGTTACATTTAACGGCGAGTGCAAAGGCACACACCAAATTGAGTGTGTGGGACAAGTATCAAACATATTTTTGCCTCCAGTTCAAAAAAAAAAAGAAAAAGAAAAAAACATATTTTTGACCTTTAAATTGTTTTTTTTTTTCAATTCTCTTCTTCCTCAACCTTTTCACCATTAACAGCAGTGACCAAACCTTCTCTTCTTCCCTTTTCGTTTCACCACACATGTAATCTCCTTCCCTCATCTCACTTTCGTTTCTCCTCACTTCATCCAATAACCCAAGGTCACGATGGGACCACCTCAAATTACAGCACACATGAATAATGATATAAACGCCCACTGAGAATGGGCTGACACTTGAACTATCCCCAAATACCTCCCAATGCAGCATATACCTTGGACAATTGTTTTCAGTGGAGCTAGTTTCGGATGATTTAAGCTCCAATTGAATCGACAATTGAATGTCTTCGTAATAGGTTGTGAATGGATTGGGTAGCTTTTGCTACCATTTCTCAAGAAATTGAAACTTATTTTTCTCTCCAGTCTACAATCTCTCTACTGTGTTGTTTTGGGCTTTAAGAAACAGATTTTTTGGGAGCAAACAAATATATATGCATATATGCGTCTGTGAGTTTGGTCCTAACGGGGCAGTGAAGGTTGCTTTTTTGAAAGGAAAAAAATGACAGAAGGCTGCTTGTAATGGTGTTGGAGGGTGGGTGGTCTTCCATTGGATAATAAAAAAGGAAGGAGAGAAGAAGAAAAGGGGAAAAAGAGAGAAAAGTGAAAGAAAATGGAGTTTGGTTGATAATGGCATTAAGAAGAAAATTAAACAAGCAGATAAGGATATTATAGGCTTTTTGTAGAAAATATTAACAGAATTGAACTTTGTAGTTTACTCCATACTATAAGGGACTTATGTGTATATTTCTAAATCACAGGAAGGTAATATGTTTTCAAGCTAAACCAAAAGGGGGTAAAATGTAATTATCCCTAAAAATTACAATAACTAAGCAAAGGCATCATTGTTTACAACTAAGGCTGAAGGCAAAGATGTTCTCACTTAAGAAACATCAAGAACAATAATTAACCTGATTTCCCCGAACTCCTTTGTTTAAGTCATGAAAGTTGCGTTCCAAGATCCATTTATAATACCTGTATTAAATTAACCAGCAATACACGTGAATAAAATGAATTAAGCAGTAGCCCCAAAAATTGCTGGCAATAGAAATCACTTACTGCTTCTGAAGAGGGGACATCTCAACCCTAAGAATACGTTCAATCTTTGGAGGCAGGGACTTCTCCACATCCTTGATAACTCTACGAAGGATATGAGGCCTCAATTCCATGTGAAGATTAGCCAGCTATCAGCAGGAGAAAAGCAATAATTTATAAAATTTATGCAAGATTTATACTAAGGGATATGGAAAGAACAGAAATAGAAGGTAGGAGATGATGAAATGTACCTCAATTTCATCAAATGAACTAAGGTTCTTGTAATTTTGAACAAAGTCATCCTTACTCTTAAACTTATCAGGATCAAGAAAGTGAAGCAGAGCCCTGTCATTTAATATATATATAGAGAGAGAGGCAGAGAGAGAGAGAGAGAGATTATGGTCTTTACATGTTTCTCTGTCAAAATTGGTAACATTCAAATTTATATCTATACTACATTATCAATACTATGTATACTATATTATGAAGGGAACACGCAAGGTTTTAAAAAGCGGCTACAACCATTACGTAACGGTTGTGGTGGTTACGGCCATCCGTTACGGCGTGTTACGCACCGTTACGTAACGGTGCTGTAACAGCTATAACGGCATGTTACGCACCGTTACGTAACGGTTTCGAACTGTTTCTTTCGAAAAAAAACACAAAAAAAAGCTGAAAATGGGGAAGACGAATAGAGAAGAGGGAAGATAAATAGAGAAGATGGAGGAGTAAGAGATAGCGAGAGAGAAGAGGGAAGATGAATAACATGTTATTGATTTGTTGAAGCTGTAAGACCTATACTATTCTATTCAGTTGCTATCACTCAACCATTTTGTTTGTGTGTGTCTATCTATATATTGTTTGAAAATAATAATAATAATAATAATACGTGTGGTCATTATTTATTTGGCTTAGTTAAAATATGTATATATATATATATATTTAGGCTCTTATTTATTCTCTTACTTTTGTCATTATTTATCTTATATATAATAGTTAGTGATTGATTTTTTGAATAATATAAAGTCATTAATTATTAAAATAAAATGTAAAAAACTCAGTTTATAGTTATTTAAAAATATGAAATATATTGAATCATACTTAAAAATTTATAGAAATTGATCAATATTTATTTTAAACCCAATAAATATGATCATGGAAAAAAAAATATGCGTATCGGTAAGTTTTTTCAAATTGTGCAAAAAATAAAAAAAATTCACGGTTCCGGTTACCGCAACCGTTACGCTACGGCCTTTACACCCCGCAACCGCAACCGCACCACCGCCACTGTTACGGCGACCGCAACCGCTTTTCAGAACCTTGGGAACACCTCAATTGGTGTGAATGAAGCTGGATAATTTTTTTTTTTCTTTTTACTAAATCAAAATTGTCCCCAAAAAGTTATTTTTTATCATTTAAATGAGTTTTCCCATATTTTTTAAAGCGCATTTATTAGTAAATCCCATATATGAGACTCACATCGCATTTACGGCTGTTGAAAATCTTATGACCCATCCAGTCTTGTGTGATTGAAAATGACACTATTGCCACCACTTATATACATGGTAATAAGTAAATCCAGAATTTGTGACTCAGTTCTATTACGAAAATTTGAAAATTGTATTTTCAATAAAATCCAAAGATTCTCCGCAAAGCATGCACTAAAATAGGAAAATAGTATCTGTTTGAAAAACATTCCTAATAGAAGCCCAGAGTAAGGGAGTAAAAAATTAAGACAGTTGGAATACTTATTCCATTTTGGACTCCTTCTCATCATATATATGTACAATAGTGTGAATTAAGTAAATGTGAATAATAGTGTGAACTCACACTTTCAATAATTAAAAATGTGAATTTCTAATAAGTCTAAAAATTGCAAGTGTGAATATTTACACTTAAAACTGTAAATACCATATTCAATAAATAAAAATATGAATTTCTAACAAGGGCAAAAATTGTAAGTGTGAATATTCACACGTTTTCAAATAAATAAAAATGTAAATTTCTAACAAGTGTAAACATTATGTGTGAATATTCACACTTAAATATTTAACACAACAATCAAAAGCCTACTAAAACCCAGACATTATCTATATATTGTTTGAAATAATAATAATAATAATAAGTATGGTCATTATTTATTTGGCTTAGTTAAAATCCGTATATATATATATATATTTAGGCTCTTATTTATTCTCTTACTTTTGTCATTATTTATCTTATATATAATAGTTAGTGTAATTTTTTTTTTTTTTTTTACTAAATCAAAATTGTCCCAAAAAAGTTATTTTTTATCATTTAAATGAGTTTTTCCATATTTTTTAAAGCGCATTTATTAGTAAATCCCATATATGAGACTCATATCGCATTTACGGCTGTTGAAAATCTTATGACCCATCAAGTCTTGTGTGATTGAAAATGACACTATTGCCACCACTTATATACATGGTAATAAGTAAATCCAGAATTTGTGACTCAGTTCTATTACGAAAATTTGAAAATTGTATTTTCAATAAAATCCAAAGATTCTCCGCAAAGCATGCACTAAAATAGGAAAATAGTATCTGTTTGAAAAACATTCCTAATAGAAGCCCAGAGTAAGGGAGTAAAAAATTAAGACAGTTGGAATACTTATTCCATTTTGGACTCCTTCTCATCATATATATGTACAATAGTGTGAATTAAGTAAATGTGAATAATAGTGTGAACTCACACTTTCAATAATTAAAAATGTGAATTTCTAATAAGTCTAAAAATTGCAAGTGTGAATATTTACACTTAAAACTGTAAATACCATATTCAATAAATAAAAATATGAATTTCTAACAAGGGCAAAAATTGTAAGTGTGAATATTCACACGTTTTCAAATAAATAAAAATGTAAATTTCTAACAAGTGTAAACATTATGTGTGAATATTCACACTTAAATATTTAACACAACAATCAAAAGCCTACTAAAACCCAGACATCTTTATATCATACACATTTATACACTGAAATTACAAAAATCATCAAATAAAAAAAGGGGGGTTCTATTTACAAGTCCTCTATATAGAACTTATAAACCACTAAATCTTTTTTATATTCTTAGAGCCAGAGAAATCATCAACCAATTAACCAAAAACCCAAGACTAAATATTTTCACTCACACTAAAAAATTCACACTATTATATATATATACACATATATAATAATGCGGAAAGGAGTCTCGTGACAAAATATTTCTCAAAAGTGCGAAATTTTAGAAGTGGAAAAATTTCGTACTTTCAAATCCAAAAACATTGCAAAACTTTTACTTTTTTTCATTTTACATAATCTTATATTCAATTGAGATCTTGTTTGATAGATCTCGTCAAGTAGTTTTCAAAAATCTAAATTTTATAAAATAAAAATAAAAAAAGGTTGTGTATTTTGAAAGTTATGGAATTTTAAAATTTTGGAACATAAAAATAAAAAACCTACCATACAACAAGCATGTTGACGAAAACAAGTATAAAGTCATCATGAAAAAAGTACTTAAGTTTAAAAAAATTCCTTCCTAGAATACAATTCCAAACATATAGGACTTATCAAATCACAAGAATTTCCATAGGATCTATGACTAAACAAGTTCCTGAAAAGGGGCATTCTGCTAATTTTCTCTTTTTCATGAAAAGGTAAAAACGTAATTTCTCCACAATGTTCAAATTCGTAGCAGTTTCTAAAACTTTCACATCTATCCACATATTATTAATGTGACAGATAAACAAATTATGAACAAATGATTTTATTTTCTAGAGAAAAGATACAAAAACATGCACCGTTAACTTTCAGGCAGTGGCAAGCAAGCACCAATATTTTTTTATTTTTTTTGATTAATAAAAGCAAGCACCAATATCAAAATGAGAATAAAAAAACAACGCCCAATTAGTACACAGTAATGTGTGTTTGGGAGGGGAAAGATTGGGTACGCACCTAACCTTTGGCATAGTACACAAAGTGGTTTCCCCGTGACTTGAACCCATAACATCAAGGTTATTAAACCAAAGTTTTACCATTGAACCAATGGTCACCCCCTTATCAAAATGAGAATGTATCTCCAAATATAATATATAGCTATATGCCTATGAACATAAAATAAATGCAATAAAACAATCCTCCTGATAGTGATGCAATAACTCATCAAACTTCAGCATTACTGGCTTCAATGCATTGTCAGTCAACCAATGCTTGAGCCATTTGATAAAGCATCTACCAAAACAGAAGAAGTATGTGATTTCCTTATTCAGAACTTCAACTTCTTAACCTTCCAAAGCTTTTGTTAAGATAAAAATATTATATAAAAATTTTAAATTAAATTAAACATTTATTTTTTTAAAAAAAATTAATTAAATTTGTTAAAAAAAAGGTACACCCAGTGTAGCCCTCGTTAGATGGGGTCTGAGTGGGGGTCCCCAGTTTACTGTAAAACAACAAATGAACAAGATTATTCAAATGGATTGTGTCAAACATAAAATTTTAACAATCAGAAGTAACAATTACCATAGCTCTTCAACGCTGTTCTGTAAGGGAGTACCAGAAATATAATATATAGCTATATGCCTATGAACATAAATAAATGCAATAAAACAATCCTCCTGATAGTGATGCAATAACTCATCAAACTTCAGCATTACTGGCTTCAATGCATTGTCAGTCAACCAATGCTTGAGCCATTTGATAAAGCATCTACCAAAACAGAAGAAGTATGTGATCTCCTTATTCAGAACTTCAACTTCTTAACCTTCCAAAGCTTTTGTTAAGATAAAAATATTATATAAAAATTTTAAATTAAATTAAACATTTATTTTTTTAAAAAAAATTAATTAAATTTGTTAAAAAAAAGGTACACCCAGTGTAGCCCTCGTTAGATGGGGTCTGAGTGGGGGTCCCCAGTTTACTGTAAAACAACAAATGAACAAGATTATTCAAATGGATTGTGTCAAACATAAAATTTTAACAATCAGAAGTAACAATTACCATAGCTCTTCAACGCTGTTCTGTAAGGGAGTACCAGTGATAAGCAACTTGTTCTTGGTGCTAAACTCCTGTGCAAACACAAGCATAGCATACAACAATAACTACCCAAAGAAAAATATATGCTTATTGTAAATAAAAAGTATACCAAAAAAGTTTTATTGGAAGCATTGCTGTACCGAAAGTGTCATATACAATGAAGCCTCACTATTCTTTAACCTATGAGCTTCGTCTACCATAAGATAGCTCCACTTGATTTTGGATAGCACCATCTTATCCTTCAATAATACTTCATATGTAGTCAACAGAGCATCAAACTTTATACCTCTGCCACCTTTCTTATTAGTGTAAAATTCATATTGCTGACAAACCTGCAATCGAAGAAAATAATTAGCAAAACATTACTAAATTAAAATTCACAAAAATATTGGGAAAAACAAATAAACTAAGACTCTGCAAAATTGCAGTTATACTAATTAATCAAAATCACAAGTCACAGTGGGAAAAAATATAAATATCCTTTATGCAACATAAAAAAGCTCTATGTAACTTCAAAAAATCCCAAGGAATACGCTATAGATAAGAAGTCCACTATAGCAAAAACTGGTAGTCCTTCCATCAGCGCAAAGTCCTGCCCTTGGTCTTCAGACAAGGCACGCCAGTAACTTCTACTCTGAGCTGAATGCCCTCAACAGAGTATCGAAAGATCACCATTCCCTAATTCACCAACTATAATCACTTGGAGAGTGGCAAGATCTTTTATTCTGGTTGAGTGTGATTTTTAATCAACCGGAAAGCCAAAATTTCAATACAAACTGACCGGTTTGCTACGTTACACGGACTCGGGTGCGGGTATCGGGTGCGGGTGTGTATCTAAGGGTCAGGCACTTCAAAATTCAAAATTAAGGATACATGAATATGGATTCGAATTAGGACGGGTACAGGGATATGTTAAATAGTTATTTTTAAATATATTTATTATATGAAGATGAGTTTAAAAAGTTTAAGGAATAACAAATTTTATTAAAAAAAATAACAAATAAATAAAAATTATAAACATTATTTTAGACATAAAATAAATTATATTATATATGATAAAATAAATTATTTTAATTTTAGACATAAAAGTTATGTTATTTATGATATATTATATTATATAATATTTTTTTGAATAAATAATATTATATAATATGAATAATATTATAATAATATAGTTTATATTACATATAATTCAAATTATATTAAAAAGAAGAGACGGAGAGAGACTAATTAAAAAAGAAAAAAGAGACAGAGAGAGAGAGAGAGAGAGTGACTAAGAGACGAGAAGAACAGAGATGGAGATCAAGATCGAAGGGGAAGACGAAGGAGCACAATAGATCGACTTCGCAAATCAACTTCGCAGATCAAGCTTCGCAAATCAATCAACTTCACAGAACGATCGATGCTCTGCAACCAAGTCAGATTAAAGTCAAAGGCCAGGTTCTCTTCTTGCTCTCTCCTCTTTCTATTCTTCTGCCGTATCCGTTTCTAAGGAGCCGTATCCCGCACCCGTGTCGTGTCGTGTCGACACGGGTACCTTTGAAATTCCAAAGAGTCCATGTAACATAGCCGGTTTGTGATGAAACAGCAAATTTTTTGAACATTGGGCCAGCCCCTTGTCTCATCAATTAGGATAGCTACATCAGACTCCAACTAATCCATTAAATTAAATATTAAATTCATCTGTGCATGTAAACAGGTCTCCTATGATTCCAAGAGTGGAAGCTTGTTTTAAAATTCAATTATCTGCAATTGATGCATCCACACACTCTTCTACACACACCTAAAGTATGTGACAAAATTTTATGATTCCAAGATTTTAATGATGGGAGTGGCAAAATTGCTGTTAGAATGTCCCACCCTAAGAACCGATATAAGACATGCCAACTACATCAGCCCAATCTAATAGAGATTTAACACTTAGAATATGCGTGAACAAGAAATGAACTATGAAAGAGAAAAGGCAGTTCACCTACATGCGACCACTAACGTACGAGATTATTAACCATCATTGACCCACTCCAAGTTCATTGACAGGGAGATCATAGTGACTGCCTACATCCAATCCAAAAGAAGTGGTAGCTGGCAGCCACTTTGGCCCCTGGTCACCTCACACCAGCCAGCGCCTACCTCCAAATTACAAAATCCATATGGACCTAACATTGGTGCCCATTTTAACCACATTTGACAGCATTTACTCCTCTCATAGATGCTAAATCTAAACCAGAGAAACCTCAAACCCGAATATTTAAGCCTCAACCATAATCTCGTGCACAAGAGTACAACAATCATTACAATAGGAAATGGATACAACCATTAGAAGGATGATTCTGAACTATCAAGATTCTAATGGCAGCAAAGGAAAATAAGCTTTAGGAAGAAGAAGAAATAAGGAACTCTTCCAGATGGGATGATTCAAAACATTTAGAAAAATAACTTTCAGCAAAATATGTATATATATATAAACATGGACCATGTAAAGGCAGGTTTGGCTCAATTGAACATCTGCAGAGAAAACAGGAAAGCTTCTGTATGAGATGATTCAAAACATTCACAACAGTTCTGGTAAATAAGATCAAAATAGTTCTACATATAAGATCAAAATAGTTCTACATACTAGCAGGGTCAGCACCATTAAATATCTGGTGATTTCCCAATAACATTAAGGACTTGCACCAAGCAAAGACTAAGATAGAGACCTAAGCACGACAGTGCCACAATAGAAAGAAAAAAAAAATGCAATAAAGTTAGATTACCAAACCCATCCACGAAAAAATGTAAAGATCACACACATACTTATCAAATAAAAAGTAAACAAAAAGGCCTCTAATTTCAACATAATCCAAGGATCATTGACATTATATCCTAATCAGTGCTAGAATCACAACCAAATCACCAAAAAAGTATGACACACCTCTCGGCTTGCTCGAGTTCCAACATACACAATAACATTCATGCTAGGAAGCCACTTTTTGAATTCTTTTGCCCAATTTGACAAAGTTGATAACGGTACAACAACAAGAAATGGCCCGTGAATTTGTTGAGCATTCTGTGGGAAGAAAAAATGATTAAAAACTCAAAAGAGGCAACAGAAGTTAGCAGCAGACCACTGACATGAGTAAATTTATACCTGTAAAAAACCAAGCATAGAAACAGACTGAACGGTTTTACCAAGACCCATTTCATCAGCTAATATGACATTAGTATCATTCCTCCAACTGTGCTACAAAAGAGGTACGAATTAGCACAGATTTCCAAACCTAAATTGAAATACAAAATTCCAGTATCAAATACCTATTTTCAAACAGAATAGGCTCTGTGATACCTGTTAACAAGAAAATTCAAGCCTTCAAGCTGATAATCTCGAAGTTTTCCACCCTTCAACCATTCAGGCTGTTCATCAAGCTTCCTCAAACTTGCTAAAGGACAGAGAGTGTTTTCAAATTAACTAATATCTTTTCAGCATTTGAAAAATAAAGAATGCAATGATGCAGATAACACTGAAATTGAAGAAGAAACAACAGAAGGGGAGGTAATGAAGGTGGCTGAAGCTAGCATATACTTTCTTGTGTATGCATCAATTATGTACGTATAATACTGATGTTGGCAAACACAAAATGAAAACATAGAATTTCCTGACAACGAATTCATTGTTTACACTTCTTTCTTCCTTCAACAACAACAACCCAAATATATATATATATATATATAAAGCAAGTCAGAACCAAAGTTATTGAGGATTGGTATTAAGCTTGTAGCATGTGATGGTATCAGAGAACAACCAAAGTTTGCAAGTGAAATCCTAGAATGTTAATCTTGACAACAGAAAAGCACATAATATCAACGAAGGAGATGTGTCAAAAACGTATCAAGGATTACAGTTGAACATTCCACAATATAAGGACAAGATGAACCCCAAAAGCTGAAGTAAACAAGCAGAGCCAACATTCCAAGAATAACAGACCTTTACTCTTCTTACGCTGGAAATCCACCAATTTTCCTTGTATACTCATTGCAGCTTCGCGAGCCTGCTTACACAATAAAAAAATAGAAACCTTGATTACCATAATCGTGCTACATCAATATCCCTGCTCAAATTTTATAATTATGGCATATACAAACAAACTGATTGAATAAAACAGCAAGTACAACATTGATTGAGAATGACCCATGACAAAAACATCAGAACCTATTATACGAAGTATACAATATACATGACATATGTTAAACTCATAATATTAATGAGCTTATAACAGAAGTGTAATAATGCTTCTCTCCAATGGCCAATAATCTTCTGTTTGTGAGTGCAACGAACAAAAATTTCATGGTGCCCATAAGAGAATATACACTTATTCAATGAATCCCAAACTACAAAGAAAATACAACTCCATAATAGATGAAAACTATAGGCAAGTCATACACGAGGCACTCCAACAAAAACAACCACTCTACAAAGACACCAAGAAATAAAACTAACCACCGAACATCAATCCACCCTCAACTGAAAATCATGAAAGAATTACTCTTGAAATTGAGTCGAACATATATTCAAATCACCAAATTGAGAACATTAAAAAAACCGGTATAGGATTTCAAATTTCAATACTTGAGAAGCATGGGAGAGACTTGGCCACAAAAATCCATTCAAAGCTTCAAGGAAGGCTTACACCTTATGGAGGATAAGCACATAACATAAGGAAAACTAGAAGTGAGAGATTTTTGTGAATGTTGCCTTTGGAAAAAGCATTGTACAGCTAAAAGAATAATATACTTATACTGTGCCATTGTTGCCCATTTGATAGAAGAGATGGTAAGTGGACGAAAATTTGCTTGTTGGGTATTTTTATCGGTTCTCAAAAAGAGAAAAAAGAAACTATCACAGAAAATTTGTTTGCAGACTGTTTCAGAATACTGATTATGGAAAAGAAAAAAAATTTAAACACCCATTTTTTATGAAATACTTTTAGGTTGTCATGAAATTTTGAAAATTGTTTTAGCACAAAAATAAAAATGATATAAAAATGATTGGTTCACAAAAAACAGGAAATCACTAGGACATCCATTTCCGTTTTCCTATAAATATTTCCCATTTTCTCTTTCTAGAACCTCTTCATATCTTCTTTTCTTTTTCTCTTCTTATCCCATATTAATTTCTACGCTCTTCTCTTTTCATGTAACAAACCAAATTTTCTTTTCAATTCTTGAGTAGGTCCCAAGATTCACCCAAATCCTCCCTCAATAAAGTCTACAAGTAAAAAAAAAAAAAAAATTAATTAAATTGAGACATAGTACTTCAATATGCCAAGTTGCCAACCTAGTTGCAAGGATATGAGAGGAAAGAAAGGGGGCAGGAGTTGAAATTGTACAGAGATTCTCAATGAGAATGTATCCTACAAATTTAGGTGATTACAATGTGAAAGCTTTCCATCACCTCATCCTCAAGGTTCCTTTTCATAACTAATATGAGACACTTCCTCAGAATTCCTAAGATCTAGATTCAATTATTCACTATGATCTATAAGGCCACCACAAATTTGATATCTAGACAACTATTTTCCTCCACTATTGCATGACAACAATGCTGGGTAAAGTTTTTGGACTGTTTATCCATTTCCAAGTGTGAGACACATAGGCTCCGTGCCATTTCTAGGGGACAGACCACTTAAAATTGCATTTTAGGATTTCTCATTTGAGCCAAAACTATCTGAATTTGATCTGTGTTACTCCTATGAACAACTCACTTTACACAGACTGTTGAATTTTCCACCATAAAAAGTCTACCCAATGAAATTGACACATTGAATGATGGAAGAACACTCCCAATCAACCAAACAACAACCAATTCACCTTCCACAAACTTAAACAAGCCATAGAATTATAGCATCCAGTTAAAAATGTCCTATATTCTTGGTTTTTGTTAGAAAGATCTTTACTATTTGGAATAATGGTTGAAATTTTGACATGCACACATATTCTTCCTGCATAGCATGCTTGCAGCTACAAAAATATATGTATATATATATATTTATATTTAAAATAAAAAAATAAAAATAAAAATAAAAAACTCCTGCAGCTTGTTTCTTTTTTATTTTCATTCTGTATTTTGGAGGAGCCATGTATTCATTAAACAAAACAATGTTGTGCAGTTAAAAAATGAAAGGTCAATAAGAATATGACCAATATGACAAGAAGCAAAACCCTTCCAGGGGACCCCTAAGCTTCGGAATTACAAATGTAAGTCAATGAGGTATAAATTATGCACCACATTCCACACCATGCAAAATTCCATGCATGAAAAAGAGATAATGACTTAACACAGGTATACAAAGCATGAGATAGGCAGCATTAACAAATTAATGCAAATACCAGCGAGATTGACAGACATTTCAACACCGATATCAAGAAAAAAAACATTGGCACACACAATTAAGGACCAAAACAGCACACATATTAATCAGTATGCTACCTTGTACTCCTTGATAGCATCTTGAGCAAACGCAATATCAACTTCTTTCTCCCTAGAACAACACATCATCACCATCATGAGCATTCAAGTTTCCATTGCAAATTATAATAAACAGTACTTGGAAGGAGGAAATAAATAAATAACATAAAGGAGAACCAGAAAAATTGTGACCATCTGTTACATACCCCAAAAAAAAAAATAATAATGGGATTGAGTTTATTCATTATGAAGATATTACTACTTCACTACGTGAGATAAAGATATTCATAAAACTTATTCATCATTAGAGAAGAAGAAGGCTAAATAATATCAGAAAAGAAAAAAAGGTTACATAGTACAAGTCACAATAGTGATGAAAATAACATATATTTAATATACCAAGTTGCCTCAGCATAAGACAGTCCTCGCCACTTGACTAAATACTCCGGAACCATATCACCTGAACTATCCTTCGTCACTCTGTCTGCAATTATTCTCTCCACCTGAGCATGCATTAGTAGAACAGATTACAGAAACCTCAAACCAAGAGAGATAGAAGGCAAAAGATGACCATCAAATAGAATCAACAACAAAACCTGACTATTTAGCTTGATGATGTCCAAGTCCATTTCCTTGCTCACATCATTGACCTCAATCTAGTTATTTGATACATCAATAGAAGAACACACAGTCAGATAACAGATTTATTTCATGAAAACAGTGTAAATATTAGATAAAAATGTTGTAATATGAACAAAAGACATTAAACTACTTCAAGATTCTTGAGCTTAGACCATGAACCACTTATAGTTCAAGATTAAGTACAGGGCTATATAGAAGCCAGCCTCTTAAAAAGAAGCATTTTGCTGGGTTTTCCAAAGAAATATCTAGAATATGGAATTGAATTCCAGAAGGTATGCAGATGCATGTAGTCTCACTTTAAAAACATTCATATGAACGTAAACAGTTGAGATAGAAGCTTGGGGCTCCTCCAAGCCAAATCAGTAAGGCCACCAAATATTTCTGCATAGGTATCTTCTTCCACATGGAGATCAATTTATATCAGAACATCCTATGATTACATCGAGGTCCAGCTTTCAGCAGCTTTAAGCCAAAGAGAAATACATATATCTATATATATATGCATATAATACACAACAAACAGAGATGAGAGTGTGTTTGCAAATTGAAACACTCTTCTGGGAATGACTTTTTTCTTTCTTTCATAGGTATTATTCATTATTCTTATTATCTTCTTTATCTTCAACTTGTTCTGAGATGCAATTTAATCTAATTTCTAATCTTTTAAAAAAGAAAGCATTGCTTGCTTCATATTTTTAAGTTAAGATTTTCTCTCAAATTCATCCCTTTCTTATTTTCTCACAGGCACACCAAACCAACCAACCACCCCCAAAAAATATATATATAATACGAAATATATATCAATTTCACTTCCCACGCACCCTAGCTTAAGCTAATTACACTCATGGTTATGGAATTTGGTGGTATATGTACACACAAACTTATCACCACAAGCATGTACAATGCATGCAGTATTTAAATGCATGTAATGCACCACTTTCACATCAAATCACCATGGATAATGGGGCTAGAAAAGCTCAAACATTGGATTACATGTACAATGGACAATCCCCACTTTGGAATAACTATCCATCTATTTCTAGGGTTACTCGACTTAATAATGACTACACCTGCAATTTCTTCACAAGATCAGGGATCAAAGGTCTGCCTCCTACAGGAGGAACTTTACAATTAAGTGAATAAACTTTTCTGACAACCCCATTAATATGGTCAGTTGTAAAATGGAACCCATAAGATGTGCCAAATGAGCTTGAAACCATAATTTCTAATTGGTTCAGCAACAAGTTCCATTCACAAAAACGTATATCAGGAAAATTGTTGATTTCATGTAAATTTTCACTCTATTTTTTTGGTCAGGTGTTTCAGTGCACATGACTTGAATATAGATTATAACCTGCATACTTTGAAAGCAGAGATGGAACCTCCAGACCATTTCTTCATTTATTTAAGCCCAATTATACTGCACCATGGGATGACGTTTATTGCAGAGAAAGATTTTCTCAACACTAACAACAACCCGCAGGTGTGGAAAATGTTACATTACAGAAATGCAATGAATATCAGGATATTCAAATTTCAAGGGAGGTTGGATTTGACTAATATCAACTGGGCTATAATTTAACATATCTATATTATTTTTGCAAGTGCCGACCCCATTGGATGGGACTTAAGGCTTGGTTTGGTTTGGTTCAGTTTGGTTTATATTATTTTTGCAAGTATATTTAACCTCCTTAACCTCATGTACTTCACACTTAAGAAACCATCAAAATATGATGTCCATATGTTGGGTTTCTATGAGATTAAACTTTCATTCTTTCCAGAGTTTCAGTGATGCAACTTCACTTTACAATCATCCACAATTAACAATATAACTTGCCAAGCAATGAGTAATACCAACAATGTAATCCAAAAGACTGGAAGTCTATAATAAACCATATAAGCCAAACTAGGGCAAAGCATGTCTACTGGCATCAACTTGCATCAAATAAAATTGAAGAGACCATAACAAATCCCTTAAGCCAATCAGTGGCACAATGGTATGCCATGTGGCTTCAAATTTCACAAACAAAAAAAGTCCAACACTTCAAATAAGCTTTAGTTTAAAACATCACTTGGTATTCAAATATTTCAGTTAATATTTCTTAAGGAGCTGTTTGTCCTCTTTTCAATCTTGTTTTTTCAATGAACCAACTTAACTTCCTTATAGGGGTAAGGATCTGGGTTCCCAGTGCTAAAGTGTCATTCATTGAAAGTTGAACATTTCATCTAGGCACAGTGCTGGAAATACAAAATGTGGCATGCCATATCAAAAGACTAGATGTCTCACATGATCACATCACTTTCAGGCATGTGTGTATTAGTGATTAAGAAGAAAAAAAATTCCAAAAAGAAACATATCAACACATACATGTACACTATGAAGCATGGACACGCCGGAATAGGTGCTGTAGCGGTATCGGACACGGGGACATGCCGGGGACACGGGTAGGGCTGCAAATGAACAGAGCGATTTGTGAACAAATTCGAGCTTGACTCGGTAAGGACTCATTCGAACTCGGTTCGGACTCATTCGAACTCGGTTCGTTAAGTTTTTATTGCGTTCGAACTCAAGCTCGTTAAAATCTTAATAAACAAGCATAAACATACTAAAACTCGGCTCGTTACCTCGACTGCTTTAATATTTATTTAAATAATAGAATAAATATATTATTTATATTAAATAACGTAAAAATATGTATAAACAATAAAATAAATATGTTATTTATAAATTTAAATAATGTAAATGTAAATAATAGCTAAATTTATTTATATGTAAATAATAGCTAACTATAGATAATACATTTATATAATAGTAGTGGTAAATATTATTATTGTGGTAAATATTATTATTTTGGTAAGATGTTAGCTTTTTTTTAGTATATTTATATATATTGTATATATAATTATATAATCAAAATTTTAATTGTAACTTTATATATATTGTGTATATAATTGTATAATCAAAGTTTTAATTATAACTTTAGTCTCATGCGCAAGTATGAATTTATAACTTCTTTGGCTTGTTAAGGCTCGTGAACAACCTCGAACTCGAGTCAAACCTAAGCCATCTCGACTCGAGCTCGGTTCGTTAAATTTTTATTGAGCTCGAGCCTGAACTCGTTAAAATCTAAATAAATTAGCCCAAACATACTAAAGCTCGGCTTGGCTCGGTTCGTTTGAAGTCTTTAATTTTTTTATTTTTATTTTTTTTCCAAGGGACATGCCGAGGACATGCAGAAAGAGTCAGAACAGAAGAAGAAGAAGAAGAAGAAGAAGAAGCTAGTTACCTAGTTCGTCGGACACGCCAAAAGGTATGTCTCTCTCTTGCCTCTCAATCCATCATCTCTTTCTCACCTCTCAATCGTCTCTCTATCTCGCCTCTCGATCAATCACCACCTCTCGATCAATCGTCTCTCTCTCTTGCCTCTCACCTCACTCTCTCGTCTCTCTTTTTTTTCTTTGATCGACTCTTGTCTCTCTCTATCTGACCTTTCGTTTCTACTTTCTCCTCTCTTCCCATTTTTTTTTTTATCATTTCTGATCTTTTTCTCTCTCTTTTTTATATTTATATATTTTATGTTTTATATATATACATCTTTGATTTAAACCCTATTTTTTATATTTATATATTTTTCTATTTAATTTTTTTCTTTATAAGTTTATATCTTTTTCTATATTTGTACTTATTCTAATATATTTGTTAATTTCTTTATTTATTTTTTTAACTTTATAAATATAAATGTTAGTTTTTATTAATTTTGAATGTTTGGTAACATATTATTAATTTATGTAGCAAATATATATAAAAAAATTGTCGTGTCCCCCGCTGTGCCCGTGTCCCTATTTTTTAGAAGTTGCTGTGTCCGTGTCTGTGTCCATGCTTCATAGCATGTACACATTAAGTGAAAGCAAAAACTATTGTATAACCATGGGAAAATTTTGCAGAATGAAAAACAATACTTGTGCACATATAAGTAAAACCGATACCCTTTTATATCAACATGGCAATTTTTTTTTGCAGTCCCTTATTTTTTATTTGATATCAAGAACCCCAAGGATTTGACATAGACATAGTTAATAGCTGACATTACCTCTTCCCGTGAGACTGTCTTCCGATATGTCACATCTTCCATCACTTTTTTAGTATAATTTATAACCTTCTTAAAACCACTAAGCTGCAAATTCACAGAAGAAAAAAAAAATGTGAGTGGCATATATAGCTAACAAATAAAAGAAAAGAGGCAACTAGTTTCAGTCCAGAATAATGCAGTACGAACATTACCACCAATAACCAGTAATTACATAAAATGGTATGTTAGCAAGAAAAATATTTAAGGCTTACATTTTGAAGCTCAGAAAACGATTTCCATTGACAGTGCAGATGTGACTGGCCTTTCCATTTTATTAAAAACTCCATCTCATTCCAATCTGGTTCAGAGTCAAACAAGTGGGTTAACAACGAAGGTTCCGTTGACTTGTGATCCCTCATAGCATCTTCGGCTGTGCCCTTTGGCTGATGCCACAACACCTTTTCAATCGAGTCAGCATCTTCCTCTTCAATCTCCTCCTTTTGAAAGAAATAAATAATTATATCAATAACATTGTTTTGGAAGAACTGAGAAATTACTATAAGATAGACTCATAGAAATTCCACAAGAAAAATATTCACATTAAAATCAAGTATAATAGATGTCAATTGTAAAAAATGCACACAGAATTAAAGTACTTCTTGGAAAGTGGCCAACCAACACAATACACAAACAATGACAAATCTGTTCCATTAGATTGCTATTAGGGTTTAAATTGACAAAATTGAAGACTCAAGGTTTATTTGGTTAGAAGGCTCAAACTCTAGGGTTTTTTTTTTTTTTTTTTTTGTAATTGTCCCATAGAAATTTCACTATAAAACTTAATCTAACACAAGGAATAGAAAATAGAATGTAATTCACATACACACATGATCATCCAACAATATATTAAATAGTAACACCATACCTTTTGGCTCTTCTTTTTCTTGCCTTCATCAACTTCTTCACTTTCTTCACTTTCAGCATACGATACTTTCCGTACTGACCGAGTTGAAGTTCGTACTTCATTGTTTTTGCCACTTGCAGAAGTGGAACGCACACCAATGCTTTTGCGGGGATGTGCACCTCTCCTAGTGAAACTGCTAAAATCATCATCACTAATAGAAAATAGAATGTAATTCACATACATACATGATACATCCAACAATATATTAAATAGTAACACCATACCTTTTGGCTCTTCTTTTTCTTGCCTTCATCAAGTTCTTCACTTTCTTCACTTTCAGCATACGATACTTTCCGTACTGACCGAGTTGAAGTTCGTACTTCATTGTTTTTGCCACTTGCAGAAGTGGAACGCACACCAATGCTTTTGCGGGGATGTGCACCTCTCCTAGTGAAACTGCTAAAATCATCATCACTATCATCCTCCGAGTCCTTTGCTGATGAATCTTCCTCTTCAAATGGCATTCTACCTCTTTTTCGTCGATTAGATGAAGTAAATGATTTATGTTCTCTGGTAGACTTTATACTATGTCCACCCCTACCTCGCTGCCTGCCCTTGGGTTTTTTATAATTGGCATCATCTTCATCTGATATATCTAGATCATCATCATCATCATCTCCACTGTTATCGCCTCCATCAAAATCTTCTCCATCCCAGTCATCATCCTGATACCAGAAAAACACTATAAGTTAGTTTGCTAAAGTTCAAGTTGCACCTTATAATCAAACGCAAAACCCATGGTAGTCATAGAGTATTGTGTTCTGTCAGAACTCAAAGCCAGGAACTGATAGACAAAATATTTTTATACAAGTAAAAACTGAGAGAAAAATATAGAATTCTATTCAACAGAATTTATACTGAATAATTGGACCATCAAAAAGGAAAATGGCAAAGACAACAACAAAAGAAAAATAAATGCAACAGTTACTGAACATTCAGAGATTCACCTCACGTGCAAGAAGTAATGATGTAAGAAACCAAAAATCTTTTCAGTGGAAATAAAGAATATGCAGCTTGAGAGTAACCAATAAATAAGAACACTGGGAAGGGGGAGAAGACGAGGATGACAATATAATTTTTTAATAAAAAATAACAGATAGAATAATGGTACAAAAACCAAAAGCCATAATACTAGCAAAACAGCAATTAGTGACTTTAGTCTATAGTATACAGCAAGTTACTTCAGAATGATTATTGAAACATTTGGGAACCCTCTTTTTTAGCCTAAAAGCCAAAAGATCACTAAAAATCCAAAAAACAACAAGCTTTCAAATCATACAAAAAGTCAAGATTCATTTCCCTTCACCCTAGTTTTTACACATCTTTTCGTAAAAAGTCAAAAGTCATTTCCAAACATATTAGTTTCTTTCATCCCATATTTTAGCCAAAAGTCAAAAAGCCACTAAAAAGCATATTCCCAAATGAGGCCTAAATCTCAATCTTGTCAGAAAGCATTCCTAGTTTCTGTTCTATTGAGCTACTTCCTCATCCACACAAAAATTAATGCCTCCGCCCTAAGCATCCCAAATGAGGCCTAAATCTCAATCTTGTCAGAAAGCATTCCTAGTTTCTGTTCTATTGAGCTACTTCCTCATCCACACAAAAATTAATGCCTCCGCCCTAAGCAGCACAAACAACTTCTACAAAGGTAACATGTCGTGTCGAACACGACACAACACTCATCTGACACTTCCCAACACTTGGACACACGTAAAACTCATTACAAGTTTGAATAAAATAACTTGAAATCCAATTACAAAACAAAAATAATGTAAATTTATACATATTCTCCTCTTCAGACTATAAAAGTTATTATCTTTGCATAAATATTCATAAATAAGACATATTATAATTATTTATCCTTATATATGCTATATAACAGAAATATAAAATGATTTACTTTGCAAGTCACCCCCATGTATCGCGTCCTACAATTTTTGAAAATTTATGTGTCGGCTTGTTGGTGTCGTGTCCATATCTGTGCTTCTTAGCCTCCTCCACTTCTGCTGTTTTTAGCAATATCAAGGCAAAATGCTCCAAAGCCCCTTCATGAAGACTACATATAACCCTAGCTCTTTCTTGTCACATACTGCCCAAAAGTTCTCAATGACAACGCAAAATATGAGCATCTAAACAATCTTACAAATTGGAATCTATTAATCTCATAAAGTTGACTTGTTAGCAAACCATTCACTGCCTAATGTGCTACTCGGAGGCCTCTCTTGAAACATTCAAAACAATAATTACACCACCAACCATCTTTATACATATACACACACATATAAGAAGAATAACAATTTAAAAGGCCTATTATTCCACTATGTGAACAGCTATCCGCTAACATTATTTAACCCGTCAAGCTCATATGACTAATATAGCATCCTGAACTCGGCATTACAAGATACTGAAGTTCTGAGCAGCCAATATTTCTCCTAGATTTATTATGCCTCAGCTAGGCATATCAGCGTCGAATTTGTAATACATGAATCGTGAAAATCAATTCAGTGATGAAAAGTCATTTGTGTTAAAAGAACTCTCCCTCTGTAAATGAGCAGAAGGCATGTGCATGGAGCACAAGTGGTACTTCGTGACTTGTTGACAGTGAGTCAACATCCTTTCGTCACAACTAACAGGCACACTGTTTGAGTAGGTCATTTTGATCTCTTCTCCAAGTCCTGATTGCGCATCGCCCAAGCATCCATCAAATTCAGTTGTGGCATCCACCCACCCACCCCAACATAAAGAGCAAATACTAATGAGCAAACCCACAAAAAAAAATGCAATAAAAATACAAAATCCAATCTTGCCCCAAAAAACCCTAAGCAGAGAAAACAAATGGGGAAAAAACAAAAGAAAAATCCTGGAGGATTTTTTTACCGATAAAAAAGATTCAAACACATACGACAAATCCATAAAAAAAATAGCACCCATTTTTGCAAGGGATGAGCTCACTTCTGAAACAGGATGCACATTGGTCAAGAATTTAGTGCGACGTATTAACTGCCAAATTGCATTACATTGCCCAAGTATCCATCTTGCTATAAAAAACAGGTGAACATCATTCTTCCCCCCTGAACTATGGTGTTAGTTAGCCTTGGGTATTACGCAGCTTACACATGAAAATGTTCAAGACAAACTTAAGTGTGGTTACTTCACAACATGCAAATCCAGTTGTCAACAGTCCAAAATAGGTAACCTCACTTATTCCATAAGATAAAAAATTCTACTAAAAGAATTTCTATAAGCCAAAGGAATCTAGGCCATAAAGTAAAAGGAGTTTTTCTAAGTAGAATTGATTACTACGAAATCACTAAGGTGGTATGTAGACGAGGAGTGGTGCCTGTTAGCATCCTCCTCAGTATGCTCCTCTCTAAGCTATAGCTACTTCATGTTGGCCAATGACATACTCACAGCAAGCAAAAAGGCCAAAAATCACTTGAAAAATATAATCCAAAACTCTTGAGTAGAGGCATCTAGAGATATAGATGGTTGCCAACATGAAATAACTCCAGTTTCGGAAACAACTAAATTCAAGATGACTAGCCCCTCAAACACATGGAAAAAATTCAAAATTCACATTAACTACGTCTGTCCAGCCACAAGGCAGACGTCATTTATAAAGGCTACAAGACATATGACTTTTAAAGATGCCAGTAGATCCCATTCAACTTGGATTGTCCATGTAAAGGCCACCAGAACTGAAATTGATCCTTCCAATCAGAGTCCACATTTTCACAACAGTGTGGCAAGGGTAAGCAGTAAAAGAGCACGAGTACTAACTTGCAAACCAAACCAACCCCAGAGTTTTAAGCACATTTACTTCTCCAACCTGATTTACCAGCATTGGAAGAAAAGAAACAGATGCTAAAGAACTACATGATCCAAGTCTAAGATCCATACTGCCCCTCGCTTGTCTAAACCACACTAGACATTCACCAGCAAACTTGTGAGCATAGTTGTCAAATCGGGATTCGTATCGTGAATCGAAATTGTTTCGTACCGAATCGCAAATCGAATCGAATCATGAATCGTAAAGATTCGGTCACTTTTTCTAAATCACTTAAAAACATATATCTACACATTTAGATGTTAAATGTATCTTATGAATATAAAATATTTAGACTTAAATCAACAAAAATGTTATTTTGAATGATAATCACGTAATTTAATAGGTAAGAAGTTAACAAAGGTTCCTATGTAAAATCACCATCTTACCTTTTTTTTTTCTCTTTTTTTTAAGATATTTTTTTTTTTTATCAACCATTCTTAATAAAGGTAATAACCAAATAGAAACTATTAATTTCTAAAGTAACAATAGTTAACAACGATATTGATATTTGGACAATAAGCATATATACTTTTCTAAGTAAGGGTGAGCAAATAATAAGAAAGAATTATTTAGGATATTTTATTTTAAAGCCTAAAACATTTAACAGGTATAACTGACCTCACACATGTAGTATTCAATTTAATAAAATAGTAATAGATAATTCATAGTGTAACTCTAATCTTAAACATCTTTAGAAAATATATTACAATTTTTTGAAGGGGACAAAAATGAGAAGAAAGGTTAAAAATATGTTAGGTCTGACTGAATTTGATTGGATCCTATTAAAAACTCCATGATCACTAAAATAATAACAAATCATATATATATGTTGGTTATTTTGGTATTAAATACTATTAGAAGTTGTATTATGTCATTTTCACTAAAAAGATGGAAAAAATGAGTCGAAAATATGTCGAACACAATAATTTCAAAAATTGCATGAATCGTAAAAAGTGAATCGAATCGTGAATCCATTGTGAATCGTGCGATTCACTAGAGATTCACTTCCAAAATAGATTCACTCATAGATTCGTATCGATTTTGCAAAAATTGCGTATCGAATCGTGAATCGAATCGTGAATCGTAAGATTCTGATAACAGAGCTTGTGAGAGTACAAATTCGACACCAAAATAAATAAATAAATAAGTAACAACCACCACCACATCAAAAAAAGACATTGTGAATACAGTGTTTTGAAAAGGGAGCCCAAGCAAAAGCTAATGCAACAAGCAAGCCAAGGTGAAGCCTTAGCATCTCAAAAGGCATGAGGGGATGCGACTTGAATGAGAAGACCTCACCATAGGCATAAGTGTGAGGCACTCGAGGTAGTGGGTTTGTTTTTTGGGGATTATGATTTGATCTCAGCCATGCACTTTTTAGTTGTAATAACATCTGGTTTTACATGCATGTCAAATCATAGGTTATGACTAGGGGTTGCATCTTTAATTAATTTTTTGGTAAAGTTTAGAACTTTTTTTTTCACTTTGACTATGCAGCTGATACTTTCAGCCACTGGTGGGTTATTTGCTAAGTAGTTAATCAATTATTTTGTCTTCCTATGTTTCCAAATGTAAAATGTTAATGCGTGTTGGACATCTTATGTTTTTGTTGAATATTGGTGTTTGAAATGTTGAATTTTGTTGGATGTTATATGTTTGTTATGGATATTAAGTATTTGGAATGTTTTATGAAATTCTTGAGCTTTGTATTTTTTTTTTGTTTTTTTTTTTCCGAATATATATCCTTAGTGTTTGCCTTGTCACATCAGTTCGCTTCTCACTAAAACTGGTCATACAACCATAAATACCATCAATGTGCCTGCGTTCACAGGCATTAATACAGTGCAGCCACTCACCTCACCACTACATTACCTTCCTCTACTAAAACCAAAACGCAGTTTAGCAACTGTATGTCCACCACCATCATCACATGCCGAAACTTTAAAACACCACTCACAATGGAAAAAGCTTCATGAACATAATCTGCCTTCTAAAACTACAAGTAAAGAGGGCGGTGCTTGTATCATATACTAAACAAACTGAGTCCACCCAATAGACGTATAGTTCAAAATTATTTATTCCAAAATTTTAACTAGTACAGTGTTTTGACTGTAAAATACATATTTTACATCTTCTTGTCAACATCTCTGAAGATTTCAACACAATTCTTAAGAATATCCTTTATATAACAGTTTTGATTTTATATATATATATATATATATATAACACAGAGTATAAAGATTCAGAGACACTAAAAATGGAAAATAAGAGACAGGGAAGCTGCTTTGCAGTAAAATAGGTTTTATCAGTAGTATAAACCAATGCTAACCCACAGACATCAGATAGGAAAAAAAAATGTAAGAACTGAAACATTAAACCACATAATAGACAATGCATGTATGAAGATGAAATGTATTGATTACAATAATGTAAATGCTAGATAAATTCACCCAAAAATGCCATGTATACAATGCAAACGTCAAGAAAAAGTGAAGAGCACAATATCAGTAAACTAAAGGTATCAGTTACAATAATACATTTTTTGTTGCTGGTCAAAAAAAAAGAAATTGTGATAACCTTGTTTCCCTTGTGACTTTTTGTGTCACCATAATCAGGATTAAAGTCAGCATCATCAGGATCATCCTCTGCCACAACAGGAAAACAGACCATCAATACCAACAATTATGAAGAGGCACCATATTATAAATTAAAATATATATATATATACTCATAATTTCACACACCAATACCCATACACCATTCCACATACTTTCAACTATCTAGTTTGGGAAAAAATGATAATGTCAAAACAGAATTACCATCTTCCTCATCATCATCATCTTCATAATCATCATCCTCATCATTATATTCTTCGCCATTTGCAGTTTTCGAATTCCTAGCCACATTGTTGTTTGCAGCAACAGACCTTGACTGCAGCTTCGAATTAAAACCACTTGAATGGCTTAATGTTCTGTAATGCAATGAGTCACTCTGATCATCTCCATCCTGCTCATAGTAATCATCAGACAACATCTCATCAGCAGGGACATCAATTTGACCCCTTCGAACCTTATCTGCTTCCTTCTGCCCATCATCACCTTCTGACCCTGATCTATCTTCTCTTCCATCTAATGAATCTTCTTCAGATCCATCCTCATTTTTATACTCGGATCCGCTTTTCGACTCCTGCCCAGATTCCGATCCAGCACGAGGCCGCATAGGTTGACAGTCCTTCCAAAAGTTTGAACCCCATTTGGCAGCCATAGCAGTTCTCTTTCCAGAAGGCTGCAAATTCGATGTTCCACTATTGTCTGCAGCTGCATCATCTTGGTGCCTACTTGCATCATCTGGTTCACCATCACTTCTATAGTGGCCATCCATCTTGATTTCAGAATCTTTATCACTTGAAGTCCCCTCTATATCTTCATTTCCTACCATTCCATGCATTCTCTCCATGGTCTCTCCCTGGCCTTTGTCATCCAAGGCACTCTGTGAAACCGTTTCATTAGAGTAGTTCCTAAAAAAAGCCATGTTTCCTTTCACATGGAACACACTTCAATTAGACTTTACTATCACTTCTATTTACAAGGAAAGTGCTTCAAATGGAAAGCAGTAAACGATCACTCAATGCAAGAGACTGTTAATTCCTTTACTATCACCTAAAATTCCCTCCAATGTCTGAGCAACAAACAAAATTTAAATTGGGTCAGTCAATGAAACCTCATTAACCACTGTTACAATTCTAAATAAGCAGAAACTACATCTAAACAGGCTTAGGCAATCAAATAAGCAAATTGATATTAAATTGTAAGCATTTAATGAACCAAACACTGTATGACAACAGTGAGACTTGAAATTCAACTCATACACATAAAAATCTTCACAATACTGATAAATTCAAATCAAATCTAACCCGAAAGGAGTATCGAAAACAGTTCAAATGAGGCAAAGACCTAAACAGGACATTTCTAGCAAAAAACAGAACAAGGTTCAAACACTCTGCTCCCGAAAGTCGAATTCCAAGACCAAACAATCAAAAGATTCAACGAAATCCGATCCACATAATCGAAAAACTTAAAAATGCCAAAAATAAAACCAATTCTACTGTGAAAACAATGGATCGCTCACTAGACTAGCAGAATCTATTGAAAACGATACAACTTCAACAAAAAACAAACAACTCCATTAGACAAGCCCTAACAACGAAAAAACGCTAAATCTAACATCACAGCCCCAAAATTGGCAGTAAAACGAGACAATCGATTGAAACAGAGAAGCTGATGATTCATCCGAACACAGACTCACCTTTCTAGAGAGAGAAAGTGACGCGAATTAGGTCAAGATTGAAAAAGAGAAAGAGGCGCGCAGGTTAGTAATCGCACGCACAATCAGGCGGCGAGGCAACGCCGGAAACTAACACGCCGTCGACGGTAAAAAAAATCGATGAGAAAAAATAAGTTTTTTTTTTTGGGTTTCGAGGGATTTATATTTATGCTAGATTTCAATCGGCGGCGGAGGTGGCTAATCTGCGCCGGGGGTGAGATTAACAGCCGATGAGTAAGGAAAACGACGAGCTCAATGGTGATTTACGATTTACCGGTCGATGATGTCCAGGAGAGAGAGAGAGAGAGAGAGAGAGAGGGTGGGTTTCCTTCTAGAGAGAGAGAGAGGGGGGGTTATCAGGGAAAAATAGGCTTTGCGAGGTTATTTTTGTTTGGAGAGACGTGTTTGTAGATACATTCTCTCTCTTGTGTGCGTCTAAGAATGCTAGGCTCCTTTCAAACGACGCCGTACGGGTGATTGGGAACCAATAGGGTGCGACCGTTGTGGCCATTATATGGGTGCTGATGAATCGGACGGTATGGATTGCCCTGAGTTTTTGGATTAGTCACGCGGCTTTGAGGCCCATTTTGGGTTGTTTTAATAGGACAAATTTGTAAAGATGGATAAATCAACATTGACACGACTTATAGGTTTATTTTTAAGCATTTTTATACAATAATTTCAAGTTTTATATTTTAGGTTAAAATAACAAAACAATTTAAAAAATAATATTATCCTTATTTATCTGTATGTCTATCGTGGTCCACTTATTTGTCTATCTATCCACCTATTTATCAAATGTATCTACTTATTTATTTATGTGTTATTTATTTATCCACTTGTTCATTTACGTATCATCTATTTATTCACTTAATCTGCCTAATTATCCAAGTTAATACTACGACTAATCTTCACCACCTGCTACAAATGACTTTTTTAATTATTTTTTCAATTACTTTTACAGGAGTGTCTTAGCGGTTTAGTGAGCGGTTTATAAATTCAATGTAAGTTCTCGCTGAGACCTGAGACATGTCCTGACCCTGAACTGAGGTAGCCTCCACTCACCTGAGCTTTCTTTTACCAAAAAAAAAGTACATAAATGAAATTTATTTAGACCTAAATTATTTATTAAATCTATTAAGTTCCTAAAATACTTAATTCAAATTCATTTAGTACTTAAAAGGATTCCAATTCAAATTCATTTAGTACTTAAAAGGATTCCAAAATTAAAATATATGTCTATAAGTAATATAAATTAGGGTAAGGGGTCACTGCTGTGCATGAAGCACAGCAGTGACTGTGGTGCATCCATTTGAGGTCTATTATGGTCTTATTTTTATGATTCAAACCGTCCATTTTGTAGGGTTTGTTGAGTACTTCATGTCTACCAAAAATCATATTAATCGGATATCAACAACTATATGATCGATAACCAAAAAAAATAAATAATAAGTTTTATTTTGAGAAATAACATAAATAATATGTAATATGCAATTTGATCATATAGTTGTTGATATCCGATTAATATGATTTTTGGTAGGCATGAAGTACTCAACAAACCCTACAAAATGGACGGTTTGGATCATAAAAATAAGGCCATAATACACCTTAAATAGATGCACCACAGTCACTGTTGTGCCTCACGCACAGCAGTGACCCCTTATCCTATAAATTAGCAATTAAGATTTTATTACCAAAAAAAAATTTACTTTGTCTTTAAAAAATGTTTTATTTCGTTTATCAATAAAATTATATGAGTATTAGATATGCTGAAAAAGTCGAATTAGATAATTTAAGTAATAACACTTCGTTACAAATAATAATAGAACAAAATAATATATTAATTAAGTTATAAAAAAATTAGCGAAAAACTTAAAAATAATCAATTATAAATTATGAACAAAATCCGACATATAATACTAGATAAAGGCAAATATGTAATCATTATAGAATATAAGTAAAAAATACTATAAATAATTATTCTTGCCATTATGAAGAAAATTCACCATAAGCACTCACGTCCACTTTTCAAAGACAAAATAAAATTTTTAGATTCTTTTGATGAGAATTTTAACTAGAAAGGGGTTTTGTACTAATTTATAACATTGATGGGTTTATATTTGATTTTTGTAATTCTTTCAGAGACTAAATAGGTTTGATTTAAATATTTTGGAGACTTAATAGATTGAATCGATAGTTTAGGGACTAAACTTTAACTTATATACTTTAGAGACTTTTAATAAACTCAATCGATAATATAAAAATTAAGTAGATAATTTGACGATAGTTTAAGAATATAAAGTGCAATAAACCCATCATTTGACTTAATTCCATATCCCCATAAAAATGATTTATCACCAATAAACCTTACATATTTTTCTCTCACATTTAAAAATTTTACATCACTCTCTATGAGGTTTAAAGAGGCATAATAGAATATTCCCTTTGTTAATCAATCGTTAGATCAATTAATACTTTGGTTTTCAATTATATATTTAAATATCAATTAGCTTGTTTGGTTTCAGAATTTATCTTTTAAAAAATTAAAACTTTTTATTTTTTGTATTTTTTTTTTGTTTTCACTGAACGTTTTTAATATCTTAACCAATTTTTTTTAAATTTGTAGATGCACCTAATATAAATACACTAAAAAGTATAATATTTGTGAATTTAAAAAAAAAATCATTAAATCTCAAAAATATAAATAAAAAAATACGAGAATTCAGTATATTTTTGTATTCTTGTGTATTTATTAATTTTTTATAAATATTTTACTTTCTAGGTACATTTAAGTAATGTGTATCTAAAAAAGTTTTAAAAAAATGTTTAAAATTTTAAAAATATTCACTAAAAACAATAAAAACACGAAAAACAAAAAAAAAAATAATTTTCAAAAAATTGAAACCAAACTGTCACGCCTTACTTTTTATTACGCAAATAACATTATCATATCCATTAAATTAATCTGTTTCCAATAGTAATATGCGGAACTATACATACATTACATTCACAAATAAATTAAAGTCCACTCATCGTACATATATTAAATGCAATATAAATTACATTTAAACAAAATGTCTGTAGGTTTACGTCTTTATATAAAAATTCGGACAAATTACACTAACAGTTCCTATAATTTTAGACTCGTGTTACCTTAGTGCTGAATTTTCAATTATGACATATTTAATCCTGAATTTTGAATCTTGTTCCAAATAAGGACAATTGAAGATACCATTGCTTAATTTCAAAGACAAAATCGCCAATTTGATAAAATGAAAATAAAATATTAAAAAAAAACTAATTTGACAAAAATAAATGTCATAAAAATATTTTTTAATTTTTAAAAATTATTTCTACCAACCAAAGATAAAATTATGTAAAATTGATAAATCTTTTAGACTTTTTTTACCAAATTAATTTTTATTATGTGTTTGAATGATAATCATGTAATAGGTAGTTGTTAGAATTTTAATGTGTAATCGATATATTTAATATATGAAATGTTTTTAGTATTGAATTTTTTGATTTAATGGATTGGTTTAATAATGATATCAAAGATGTCATATTTAACTTTTGGAAAAATAAAAACTAATTTAATGAAAATAAAAACAACTACACATTGCATGATCATCATCCAAACACATAATAAAATTAATTTGATAAAAAAATAAATAAATAAATGTCTAAAAGATTTATCAATTTTACATAATTTTATCTTTAGTAGGTAGAAATTATTTTTAAAAATTTAAAAATATTTTTTTGACATTTATTTTTGTCAAATTAGTTTATATTTTATCAAATTGATGATTTTGCCATTGAAATTAAGCAATGGTATCTTCAATTATCCTTATTTGGAATAAGATTCAAAATTAATGGTCAAATATGTCACAATTGAAAAGTTAAAGATCAAAGTGACACAAACCCCAAACTATAGAAACCGTTAGTGTAATTCGCCCTAAAAATTAAGGGTTTAACCTTTTTTACAACAATAGCATTCCGCCAACAAATATAGAGCCTCGTGGCCAAATAAGATCACCAATCTTAAATCATCTCTCAACTTGTACCTGAAAAATGATTAGCACCGTGAGATGAACATAAAGTCCAGTAGGAATCCCAACATGATCCTAAACAATAACAACATACAAATAATTATAATCATGAATGCACCACGACAATACCATATAAGTAATGTGACAGTCAAATATCCAAAATACACTTGTATCCGTACATTTTTCCAAAATCATTATCTTTAACACGCAACGTATAAAAACCTCTTATTCTCTTTCTATATTTTCATTTTAGTTTAGAAGCACAACATTTCATCATAGCATTTCATCACAGCATTTCCTCAGAACATTTCCCTCAACTTTTACCCTTCTACTATGAGTTAAAAGAATTTCATCTCAATAGTTGTTTTGAAAACACGTTTTTATAACTAGTTATACCTTAATCTAACATTTCGACACACTGTACATATTTACAAATCAATACATCTGCTACTTTCCATGGCCTTAGGCCCAAGGGCAAAGAACATCCATAACTTTATACCAAGACATATATTTTCTAAACATTTATGACCAAAAGTAATACATACTTCCATTTTCACAAGCCTACAAAACGGATGGAAAATGCAACAACCACATAACAAAAAACGCTTTATCGACCTCACTCGGAGGGGAACGACCCCAAGGTCACATTTTACCTGGCGCAAAGTAGAAGATAGAGGAACTTATCTCAAGGCATCATGCTTTATCAGCCTCCCAAATAGAAACAGACCTCAATTTCACACTTTACCGAGCATAAACCAAAAAGGAGAGGAACCTCTGTCACGGTGCTACGCTTTATCTGAGAGATACGGACCTCCAAACAATATCATAAGTGTAATACATATACATAATCTATTCAACAACAACAATACCATCCTCCACCAATGACTAAGGACAAAACCTGTAATATTTAAATACATAACTTCCAAGAATTAAACCACAACTGGTTCCATAATTCTAAAGCATTATAATTTTCAATGAAATCATTTCACAAAAGAGTTATGAATATCATTTCGTTCTTCTAAACCAAATATGTTGTTCCAAATTATTCAACACTTTTAACCCCTAATCGAAAATCCCTTTCTCCTTTAATAAAACCCTCTTTATGATATACAACTATGACCCAACTCAACATAACATAAACAAAGCAATCACAAGGCCTGGTTAACCCCTTTAAGCAACTAAAGCATTAATTCAATCCCCTAAAGCATTAATTCAATCTCATAAGTATTAATTTAATCTCATAATATATAACACAACTATTACCTAACTTTACCACTTTTCGTTTATTAATTTATAATAATAAATTAGGGC